CTTAAAAATTACATTTATTTTTAAGTCCCAGCATGAATTTCTGTATATATCTTAAATATTTTGGGTTTGAAGCATAAATATATCTATATATGTTGAACGAAATTTAGCTGCCGACAGAATCACTTTGTAGTTTTTAGCTCGACTTTTCTATGAAAAGGGGAGCTATCCTACTCGCCCCGGCGTCGGCGTTAGCGTTAGCGTTGGCGTCACACCTTGGTTAAGTTTTTCGTACCACCCCACTTTATTTCAGAAGTATTACAAGTATGGCTTTGAAACTTACCATACTTGTTCACCATCATAACCTCCATCTACAGACAAGAGTACATAACTCTGTCAAGGTTTTTGACAGAATTATGGCCCTTTTTTGACTTAGAAAGTGTATTGAGCTTGGTTAAGTTTTTTGTACCACCTCACTTTATTTCAAAACCATTGGAGGTATTGCTTTGAAACTGACCATACTTGTTTACCATCACGACCTTCATCAACAGACAAGAGGACATAACTCTGTCAAGGTTTTTGACAGAATTATGCCCCTTTTTGACTTAGAAAATACATTGAATATGGGTAAAATCCACTTATTGCCTTAACCCTTTGAGATATTGCTTTGAAACTTTTAATGCTATTTCACATCATTACCCCCATCTGTACGCAAGAGAAGGTAACTCTGTCAAGGATTTGTTTTAAAAATTAAGGCCTTTTATCGACTTAGAATCTTGGTTAAGTTTTTAGTACCAGTCCACTTTTTGACTGAACTGTTTGAGATATTAATTTGAAAGTTGGAATACTTGTTTACAATCATGATTCCCAAACATGTCCAGGAGAAGGTAATTCTGTCAAAGATTTTATTTGAATTATGGCCCTTAACTGTCAATGTTTTGTATTATAGGCAAGCACTAAAAAAGTCGAGCGCGCTGTCTTACGGACAGCTCTTGTTAAACAAACCATGTGACTTGAACAAAGCCTTGAAGTTACAATAACAGATATTTTGGATATTTTATGATTGAAACAAGTTTAAGCCATTCATTTGACCTTTTCTTTAACATTTCCAGAGTTCAACTTCACTGTGACAACTATTGTGAAATTTTAACGCTCTAACCTGACCCAAGTTAGGAAATCGCCATTTTATCCTTTATTAGGGCAAAAGTTTTGTTCCTGTGACTAACTAGTGTATTCATTTTGAGGACATTTACAAAATAATGAATGAAAAATTCAAAACGAAGAAATGAAAATTTTGCCTGTGTCTCCCTTTAAACCACAGGGATAAGACGCTTAAAATTTGATCTGATATAATCCCCTACAGCTACCCCTCCCTCCAGTCCCTGCTTCAACCCCAAAAATATGATTTAAAGTCAATTTCCACATTTAGTATATAACAACAATAATATGACACTAATATTTGTATTTGGCTTAAACCAAAGGAAGCCATTTCACGCAATGAGACCTTGCGACGGATTGATACATGCCTGAATGACATCATACTATGGATGAATAATAACTTTGAAACTCAATGCGGACAAAACAGAGGTGATCGTCTTTGTACCAAAACGAAGTGATATTGAAGATCTTACTGTAAGAGTCGGTGATTCTGTAATAAAACCATCAACAAGAGTAAGAAACCTTGGCGCCGTATTGGACTCTCATTTAGACATGGAACAACATGTGAACTCAGTTTCTCGTTCATGATTCATGAAAATATGATTTCACTGTTTGATAAATATTTTCATCAATGATATAGAGTAAAATGATCAAAGATATTATTTAGATGAAATATATATCAAAGCTGCACACAAGTTCAGATAAATGTTTAAATAATAGATTTAGAGCATTTAAGATGTTCAACAACTGAAGGAGGTAGTGCTGAACATGCAGTAATGAGTTATAGAGGTAGCAAAATGAATCAAGGTAGCATTTTGACATCCACACAAAGTACTAATTCACTATAATTATACCCCCGAAACGAAGTATGGGGGTGTATTGGAGTCACTCTGTGGTCGGTTGGTTGGTCGGTCCAGCCGTCCGTTGCATTTTCCTTGTCCGGAGCATAACTTAAACACTAATAGTTGGAATTCAATACAACTTCATACAATGGTCAAGCACATCAACAGTGATTAATCTAGAAATTCCTTACAATGCGTCGGATGACGCACATGTTTGAAAACAATGAGTTCTGTAGCAAAATCAATGAGTCATGTAGCAAAATAAATTCGTCTTAGCAGATTTTTTTTTATTTAATAGCAGATCCTTGACATGATTTGCATGTTTTTATAACAATCGATTAAGTAATTAAAGTGTATGAAAAAGTTATTTTTGGTACTAATATTAATTGCAGGCAAAACAATTTTATTGGCTGCTCAAAAATCTAATTTGCATAATTTATATTTTCTTACTACTTATGTCTAATATTGTGCATTATCCATTTTAATTGTTCGTAATTTGCACAAAATGTCCCTGTCACACTGTATACATACTGACGACTTTTATTGCTCCTTGTATGCCTCTGTGTAGAAAGCATACACAGACAGACCTTTTGATCATGAAAAAAAGTCATGCACAATGTTTCCCTGATTGGTTAATCACCCTGTCAAATATTCTGATGACGTAATAGACATCTTCTCCGCAAGAAACTTGAGTGACCTTACACACCTGTCAGAGTATACTGTAACTTACAGCATTTCTTAAAATAGCAACGATAATTATTTAAAATATTAAGTAGATTAATGATTTTTTGTTTGCTTTATTGGATTAAATTTACGGTAGTAGAAATGCGGTAGTAGAAATGCGTATCTGTGTGGGAAAGGGATAAGGTAAGGAGATAACTTGGAAAAATGCTAAAGGGAAATGGATAAACGCAAGAATATGCGTAATTACAGGGGAATGGATAACCTGTTGCTGTTGATACCAGTTTTGTCTGGATGACTAAATAACATACAATAATTATATAAGTCTGGCACAGATTTTAGATGCGCCTTTGGCCCTTTGCTGACATTTTCCTGTGCCTTTCTCATTTTTTAGCGCCAATGGCACAGGCAGATCTCTGCATATTTCACCATTGTAGGCAATTCGCTTTCACGCAAAATGGACGCTAATTAAAGAGTTATTGCCCTTTGTTCCTTTTCCTTGTCCGGAGCATAACTTGAAAACTACTGGTTGGAATTCAAAACAACTTCATTCAATGGTCAAACACAATAAGGGGAAGTGCAGTGCACAAGAACCATAACTCTATCTAAAGTAAGTACAGAGTTATTGCCCTTTGTTACTTTTCCATTGCTCATTTTTGTCCGGAGCATAACTGGAAGACTAAAGGTTGGAATTCAATACAACTTAATACAATGATCAAGCACATTGAGAGGAAGTGCAGTGCATAAGAACCAGTACTCCATCTTGACTAATTACAGAGTTATTGCCCTTTGTTACTTTTCCTTGTCCGGAGCATAACATGAAAACTACTAGTTGGAATTCAATACAACTTCATACAATCATCAGGCAAATTAAGAGGAAGTGCAGTGCACAAGAACCATAACTTTGTCTAGAGTAATTATTGAGTTACTGCCCTTTGTTACTTTTCCATTGCTTTTTTCTTGCCCAGAGCATAACTTGAAAAGTAGTATTTGGAATTCAATACAATTTCATACAATGGTCAAGTATATTGAGAGGAAGTGCAGTGCACAGAAACCATAACTCTTTCTTGACTCATTTAAGAGTTTTTGCCCTTTGTTACTTTTAAATGTCCAGTGCATAACTTGAAATTTAATGTTTGAAAGGGGCAGTGAGGTGAAGTGCAGTGCAGAAGAAGCATAACTCTATTTTGACTCATTACAGTTATTGCCCTTTGTTACTTTTTTGTCCTAGGCATAACTTGAAAACTAGTAGTTGGAATTCAATACAACTTCATACAATGGTCAAGGGAAATGAGAGGAAGTGCAGTGTACAATAATCATAACTCCATCTTCAGTATTTGTAGAGTTATTGCCCTTTTCCTTGTCCAGTGCATAACTTAAAACTAATGTTTAGAATTCAATGCAACTTCATACAATGGTCAACCGCAAAGAGAGGAAGTGCAGTGCTCAAGAAGCTTAACTCTTTCTGGATATATTAAAACTTCATCAATGGTCAACCATATTGTAAGGAAATGCAACATACAAAAACCACAACTATCTTAAATTGCCCACAACCATAACTATTTCAATTCTTGAACAAGGTATTCTGTTACTTGTAACATCCTCATTTCTAAAGCAGTCTTGTGGGGGTATTAATCACATTTAGTGATAGTTCTAGTTTACCTTGGCGGCTTCCATCCTACCCAACAAAAACTGGCATTGTTCACAGGATAGCCTTATTTTTGGAAGGATTTTTGAAAGCTGCAAACAAAGTTATTTTAGGGCTTCATTATTAAAAAAAAAATGAAATTGCAGTGGTTTTTCTCAGTTAATTGGAAAAAGGCTCTTGATTTTCAGAAAAATTATTGCTAAAATTGTCAGATGTTTGGGAAAACTGCATGATTTTAAAGAAAATTCAATTGGGAAGAGCCCTTATATAGGCCTCTGTTATATATGGTGAAAAATCACTGAGTTGGAAATGGGTTACTAAGCATATCTTCTTGATATGTAGGTCATATTAAATTTGGTATTTGTTACTTTTTTATTTCCTTATAAACAATTGGGAAAAGCATACATTCTCAAAAAGATTAAAATTTATACAACAATTTTATAAGAAATTTTAAGCATAGATTTATGAGCTATAGAAAATCTTGATTTTGTTGAATAGTATTACAATGTCATAGTCAGATCCGAGGCTGATTATGCCCAAATTTCAGTCAAGTTGACAAGACAGCTAAAATCGATGAATTCAATAAAATGTTAAACTCCAGGATGCAAGTTTAATATGTTAAGCACAACTTTCATGCTTCAAAGACCAGGTACACATATACTGTATGAATTTTAAGATAAAATTGATGAATAAACCTTCAATGTTTACTCATAAGTACATTGAGATTTTATATATATATATTGGACAACCTTATGCTAATTGTAGTAATGTTTTATCATGTCGGGTATCTATGTTAATTCTATTTTTTGTAACGCAAAATAGCCAGACTTGAAAGATTATGAAATTGTTAAAGCTGGCTGAGATATAAGTTGGATTTACATGGATGTTCTGTGAGTATATACTGTTGGTGCACTGGCACAAGCCTTCTGTATAGGGTTAAACTTAACTCGTATTAAATTGCATATGTTTATTATAAGGAGTTAATTTGCTGCTGCACTAATAAGGTGACAAACTGTTTGAGGAAAAGTATTACATTGTATATCAGGAGAAATAAATGGGTAACTCTATAACTAAACAGTTTAACTATTTAAAGGGGAAAGTTTAAATACTTAAAGAGGAAAGTTTAACTATTTAAAGGGGAAAGTTTAACAATTTAAAGGGGAAAGTTTAAATATTTAAAGGGGAAGGTTTAAATATTTAAAGGGTGTTACTGTTTAAAGGGGGAAGTTTAACTATTTAAAGCGGAAAGTTTAACTATTTAAAGCGGAAAGTTTAACTAAGAAAAGGGGATGTTTAACTATTATAAAGGGGGTTTAACTATTAAAAGGCGAAAGTTTAACTATTATAAAGCAGGGCTCGACATTAACGGTTGTCCGACTGCCCGGGACAACTAAAAGTTTGGTCCGGGCAAGTTATTTTGAAAAGCACTTGTCCAACAGGGCAAGTGAAAATAAAAAGCATCATTGACAAAATGCATGTACAAAATGAATAGAAATAACATCTTTTTATTTATAAACAGCTTTAAAACAAAATACACCATGAATCATTATCAATAATGTGAATATACTACGGTCATGTACATTTGTTGATATAGGAAACGGAAGGAAAAATATGAGCATGCGCCGCGGTAAGGTAATTCCCCATTCTAATAATAGACTATATCTTATTTTGTACAAGGTAATTCCCGGGTTATGCTGTTGTTTAAATTTTGATGTTTGCATGTAAAGATATCATTGAAAATATGTAAATAATCATATTGATCTTTAAATATAATTGTTCAATAAAGTTTTTGCATTTAAAATGATTTATTGTTTAATCTAATATAACAACATTATGAACATAGCCAACGAAGACTCGTTTACGGCTGTTGACTTGATGATTGAACGGGGAATTACCTTACCGCGGCGCATGCTCATATTTTTCCTTCCGTTTCCTATATCAACAAATGTACATGACCGTAGTATATTCACATTGAATAAACAGATGAACCGATGTTTTAGAAAAACTACTAAATACAAAAAATATTTGTGTCTAACTAACAATCAATTTCATAAACAATATGTCCAGTTTATTGCCTTATGTGAACATTACCTAATACAAGAAGTATTAATGTATGAGCTTGTTTGTTTTTCTGATTTATACATTTTTACCATTTTTAGGTCAGGACAAGTAAGTCTTAGGTCAGGGCAACTAGTTTTAAAAACTACTTGCCCGACAGGACAACCTGATTCAAAAGTTAATGTCTAGGCCTGATAAAGGGGAAAGTTTAACTTAGAAAAGGGGATGTTTAACTATTTAAAGGGGAAAGTTTAACTAAGTAAAGTGGAAGTAAAGGAATGTTAAACTGTATAACTAAGGGGAAAATTTTAATTTATAGCTAAAGGGAAATCGGAAGTTTAACTATAACTAAGGCGGAGGTTTAACTCAATAACTGAAGGGTACAGTTTAGTTATGCATATGGATTAGGAAAGGCTTAACTATAATTACTTGGGGGAAAGTTTTAATATAGCTAAATAATGATTTCCAGATCACTCTTTAAGATGAAAGGTTACAATTTTCAGAAACAGAAAAACTTTTAGGTGTCCATGTTGATCATACACTGAACTGGAAAACACAAGTCAAAATGACACTGAATAAATGCAATTCATTACTATACCTTCTTTTGAGAATAAAACAATTTCTAAATGTTTATGTCAGGAAAATTTTCTTTAATGCATACATTCTTCCCCACTTAGACTATTGTTGCACTATTTGGGGAAATTGCAGTAAAGAACTCTTAAATGACCTGTATAAATTTCAAAAACGTGCAGCACGAATAATATTGGACAAAGATTTTGATGCACCCACTGATGATTTATTTTCTGAATTAAACTGGATGAAATTTTCTGAAAGAGTAAATTATAAAAAAGCTATTTTAGTGTACAAGTCCCTTAACAATCTTCTCCCTGATTATATGCAAAATCTTTTTACTTACACAGAAAATACACAATTAAGATCATATCAACAAAAACAACTTCAAATCCCAAAACCTAGACTTGAGTTCTGCAGAAAATCTTTATCATATTCAGGGTCAAAACTTTGGAATTCTCTTCCCCTGGATATCAGAAATTCCACAAATTTACAGTCGTTAAAAAATAATTATCTTAAATGGTGGTTCTCTGGTGGGAATAAAACACATCAATTTGTATTATAAAATGATAAATGTATATCTGAATTGCAATGTTTATATTCTTATATAATGTTTTTTCCTAGATTTTCATTTTACATGTTTCTTAACTACAATGTATTTGTAATTTTGTTGTTGTTTTATCATACCTTTTGTTTGTAAATGTTTATATTGTGTACATTGTATATTTGATAGAGGCTCATAGGGAAGACTGGGCATGCCCAACTATGTTGCCTCTTTAAATAAAGTCTTTATTATTATTATTATTATTAAATAGAAAAGCATTACTCTTTAACTGAAGGGAAATGTTTACTTCTATAGGGGAAGTTAATAACTAAAGATTAAGTATGATTCAGTAATATAAAGAGCATCTAAATGACTTTCCTATCATTACCAATCTCTTTCCCTGTTGTAGCAGTAAGTAAAACCCCTGAAAAAATGAGCCAATCAACAGCATTCTCTAGACAGACAGTGAGTGCGGGTAACTAATACCTGCACTCCAGTTAACGCTCTGTGCATGTATTGGTATACAATTTAATTCTGACATGTTTTCAGTAGTAAAATCTCAAAACTATGATACAATTAATCATTTAAATGAATTCAGAAAACAAAAGTTTTATTGATGTATTTACTGACTGAAGAGTTGTAATTTTCTGTCAGACTTTAATACATAATTCATTGCTTTAGAAAATAAGATTTGTTTGTCCCTTTGTAAAAACAAATTGATATAAATAAGATTTATAACAGCTAAACTGTCATCAGATTATGATAGATGACATGTATATTAATCTTACACTCGGACAATGATACTGCAAAATCCTAGAAAGGACATGATAAAAATAATTTTTCGTCTTCCATATATTGTGACATGTGTTTAATGAAATGTATTTGTAATTTTGCTGTCAAAACTAAAACCCTGTGAAATATTAATTAGTTTAATGCTCAGTTTTGACATGAAAACTCATTGATTATGAAATAATGATATATAAAAATAGTTTGTTTAGTAAGGATATTGACTTAATCGTTGATCTACTTATTGACTTTGTAAGGTAATTGTTGGTAATTGGTCGTGTATTTTATACGTTATTGACTTTAACAAATCACTGTTAATGATCTGTAATGTAAACATACCTTGACATTAATATGATAATGTATAGATATGTAAACTTGTGAGTTTAAATATGTAACACATGTTACTCTAAATATTATTTGATTAAAGTTGTAAAAATATATATTGTATTTAGATGTTAAACAAGTATATATGTACATGTCTATATAAACATGTATCACAGTATGGCACATTCACCTGCTGTGCTGCAAATTGTTCTTTAACACAGTAGTGAAAATAATAAGCCCAACTTGGGAGACTGGGGACTTAAATATATTGGCAGAAAAGAAGATTTACCCCTATAACTTGTTTATAGACCAGTGTTTTTTTTTTCACTTTGGGGGAAGGGGGTCGGTGCCCATTGGAGGGGGAAAATGCAATAGGAGGGGATTTTATACGGATCTAAAATATTGATGTGTCACATGATAAACTTGTTGGGATACCAGGAGTAGCTCCCCTTACCTATATGAAAAACCTTGCTTAACAGTAAGTCTTACAGGCATAAAATAAAGCATTTTTTGGCAGTTAGTTGCAAAAAAATGATATTCATTGCAGGCAAATTTGGGCTGCCATATTATAGGGGGAAATTTCAGCTTTGAGGGGGGAAAAAAACATACTATTTTGAGGGGGGAATGGGGAGAATTTCGCCGAATATTTTGGTGGAAAAAAAAAACACTGTAGACAATTGAAAATCTGAGCTAGTAGGGAAAAAAAACATCAAAATATTGTTGTTCTACTTATACCCCTTATCAATGGGGGAACATAATTTAGTGAGATAGTTATGAAATCTTAGTTAACTTCGAGTAAATTCACTTCTCTATATCAATAATTTCACCCCATTAGAGAACTTATATGATTAAGCTTGTTGATATGGAGGCAAATAATTGTTATGCCCCCATTTCGAAGAAAAGGGGGTATATTGCTTTGCACTTGTCGGTCCGTCGGTCTGTCGGTCCGTCGGTCCGTAGACCAAATGGTTTCCGAGTGATAACTAAAGAACCCTTAGGCCTAGGAACTACAAACTTGGTATGGTGATTGGTCATGACCAGTAGATGACCCCTATTGATTTTGGGGTCAAGGGGTCAAAGGTCAAGGTCACATTGACCTTGTAAGCAAAAATGGTTTCCGATCAATAACTAAAGAACCTTAAGGCCTAGGAACTTCAAACTTGGTATGGTGATTGGTCATGATCAGTAGATGACCCCTATTGATTTTGGGGTCAATGGGTCAAAGGTCAAGGTTACATTGACCTTGTAAGCAAAAACGGTTTCCGATCAATAACTAAAGAACCTTAAGGCCTAGGAACTTCAAACTTGGTATGGTGATTGGTCATGATCAGTAGATGACCCCTATTGATTTTGGGGTCAAGGGGTCAAAGGTCAAGGTCACATTGACCTTGTAAGCAAAAACGGTTTCCGATCAATAACTAAAGAACCTTAAGGCCTAGGAACTTCAAACTTGGTATGGTGATTGGTCATGATCAGTAGATGACCCCTATTGATTTTTGGGGTCAAAGGTCAAGGTCACATTGACCTTGTAAGCAAAAACGGTTTCCGATCAATAACTAAAGAACCTTAAGGCCTAGGAACTTCAAACTTGTATGGTGATTGGTCATGATCATTAGACGACCCCTATTGATTTTGGGGTCAAGGGGTCAAAGGTCAAGGTCACATTGACCTTGTAAGCAAAAAACGGTTTCCGATCAATAACTAAAGAACCTTAAGGCCTAGGAACTTCAAACTTAGTATGGTGCTTGGTCATGATCAGTAGATGACCCTATTGATTTTGGGGTCAAGGGTCAAAGGTCAAGTCACATTGACCTTGTAAGCAAAAACGGTTTCCGATCAATAACTAAAGAACCTTAAGGCCTAGGAACTTCAAACTTGGTATGGTGATAGGTCATGATCAGTAGATGACCCCTATTGATTTTGGGGTCAATGGGTCAAAGGTCAAGGTCACATTGACCTCTTGGGTAAAAACGGTTTCGGATCAATAACAAAAAAACCCTTAGGCCTAGGAACTTTAAACTTGGTATGGTGATTGGTTATGACCAGCAGATGACCCCTATTGATTTTGGGGTTAAGGGGTCAAAGGTCAAGGTCACATTGACCTTGTAGGTAAAAACGGTTTCCGATCAATAACTAAAGAACCCTTAGACCTAGGAACTTCAAACTTGGTATGATGATTGGTCATGACCAGCAGATGACCTATTGATTTTGGGGTCAAGGGGTCAAAGGTCAAGGTCACATTGACCTTGTAGGTAAAAACGGTTTCTGATCAATAACAAAAGAACCCTTAGGCCTAGGAACTTCAAACTTGGTATGGTCATTGGTTATATCCAGCAGATGACCTCTATTGATTTTGGGGTTAAGGGGTCAAAAGTCAAGGTCACATTGACCTTGTAAGTAAAAACGGTTTCCGATTAATAACGAAAGAACCCTTAGGCCTAGGGACTTCAAACTTGATATGGTGATTGGTCATGATCAGTAGATGACCCCTATTGATTTTGGAGTCAAGGGGTGTAAGGTCAAGGTCACATTGACCTTGTAGGTAAAAATGCTTTCCAATCAATAACTTAAGAACCCTTAGGCCTAGGAACTTCAAACTTGGTATGGTGATTGGTCATGACATGCAGATGACTTATTGATTTTGGAGTCAAGGGGTCAAAGGTCAAGGTCACATTGACCTTGTAGGTAAAAACGGTTTCCGATCAATTAACTAAAAACGCTTAGGCCTAGGAACTTCAAACTTTGTATGATGATTGGTCGTGACCAGCAGATGACCCCTATGGAGTTTTGGGTCAAGGGGTCAAAGGTTAAGGTCATGACCAGTAGATACTTGATAACCCTTATTAATTGTTTGATCACTGGGTCAGAAGTCATGCATAATAACCTTTTCACATGACTAATTGGCTGCTGATAGGGGGCATACATGTTTTACAAACATATCTTGTTTAAGTAAATTTCAGCATGCACATTTAGTTACAATTGTAAAGTTGTTATGGTTCTTACAATTGCACACATTGATTTTGTTATTAGGTCTGGCTTTTCTTAGGCTGAGAGCTATGTGATAACCAAAAGAAATTGTAAAGAACCAAGTGTCCCAACAGAAAAAAACTTTCACTTTATAAATGGCCCAAGTTGTCTGTGGGCAAGAAGCAAAAATTCATATTACCACCCCTGTTAAAGTACATGTACATGACACCTCACCCCTATTAAAGAACATGTATACTGAGGTTTCTGTATGGTTAAGGACTTTCACTAAATAAACTTTGGTTTTCAAGTTTTATTAAGTAACTCTGGCCCTTAAAATATATACAGTATACCTGTAGGATACCTGTAGGATGATTCTGGGCTCTGATGGAAGGGCTAAGCCCTTTTTAAGCCCCTCTTCTTTTGACAAACTTTCGTCACTACTTCATACTGGTCTCATCATAATTATATGTTTATGCCCCCGCCATGTAATGGCCGGGGCATATAGTGTTACCCTGTTCCGTCCTTCCGTCATTCCGTCCTTCCGTCCTTCCGTCATTCTGTCATTCCGTTATCATCAGTTTCCGTTCATTATCTTAGTAACCGTTGCACATATTCAACTCAAATTTGACATATGGATATGTCATGAGAAAATACAGGTCAAGTTCGAATTTGGTCATGGTTCGATGATTTTTGGCAGAGTTATGCCCCTTTTACTTTGAAAATAATATGAAATTTTCAGTTTCCGTTCATTATCTCCCCAACGGTACAACACATTCAACTCAAATTTGACATATGGATATGTCATGAGAAAATACAGGTCAAGTTCGAATTTGGTCATGGTTCAACGATTTTTGGCAGAGTTATGCCCCTTTTACTTTGAAAATAATATGAAATTTTCTGTTTCCGTTCATTATCTCCCCAACCGTACAACACATTCAACTCAAATTTGACATATGGATATGTCATGGGAAAATACAGGTCAAGTTTGAATTTGGTCATGATTCGATGATTTTTGGCAGAGTTATGCCCCTTTTACTTTGAAAATAATATGAAATTTTCAGTTTCCGTTCATTATCTCCCCAACTGTACAACACATTCAACTCAAATTTGACATATGGATATGTCATGAGAAAATACAGGTCAAGTTTGAATTTGGTCATGGTTCGATGATTTTGGCAGAGTTATGCTCCTTTTACTTTGAAAATAATATGAAATTTTCAGTTTCTGTTTATTATCTCCCCAACAGTACAACACATTCAACTCAAATTTGACATATGGATATTTTTTTGGAATGCCAAGGTCAAGTTCGAATTTGGTCATGGTTCAATAATTTTTGGCAGAGTAATGCCCTTTTCACTCTGAAAAAAATATGAAATTTACAGTTTCTGTTCATTATCTACCCATCAGTGTTACATATTCAACTAAAATTTGATATATGGATATGTCAAATGAATGGGCAGGTCAAGTTGGAATTTGGTCATGGTTCGATGATTTTTTGGCAGAGTTATGTCCCTTTCACTTCGACAATAATATAGATACATCTTAGGAATAGGCAGTTAAAGTTTGAATTTGGTTGTGGTTCAATGATTTTGGACAAACTTATCTTTCTTGAATATTGGAAAAAAATTTGAACTTTCAGATTCAGCACTCATACTTTTGTGGAAATGTATGTAGCCATTATTTTGGCTACAAATATGAAATATGCTATTTTCAAAAGGTTAAGACTGAATAATTTCAGTGCTTTGAACATTGTATGAAAATGGTTTGTGTTAACATTGAAAAGTTTTAAGGGCTTTGAACTTAAAATGAAAACAATAATTTGTGCAAACAAGTTTGGAACTGAATATAATAACATCTGAAATTTTGGCTGCATGCGGGGGCATCCGTGGCATGATGACACATTTCTAGTTTTATTTTCACTTAAACATATTTCATTTTACACTGCTTAAAATTTTTACAGCATTATGTTAAACGGGGTGGGGGGGGGAGGAAAGCTGGCTGACTTGAAACATAACTATCTTGCTTAATACTAAAGTTTAGAGAAGTTTACAATAGTAACTCCGGTCTTATATAATATTGACTGGCCTGGAGGCTGAACTGGCTCTTTACTTATAATGGATAGGCCTTTTATTACTAGTAAAAATTTTGTAATGACTGTATTTGAATGGTTTATGTGTTTGTCCCATTTGTTGGATCATGTTTGGACAGGCCTTTTGTTGTACAATAGAAGCATGATACCGAATTTTGATGAAACCACAGGACTTGCTTCATTAACTCCATTCAATAAAATCTATTTATGGTTTTCACAAAACTCACTACATTTCACTTCAATTTTGTATCCACTACAAACTTAAATCAAAATTTGTATCAAATTTTGAATACGCAGTGTAAACATCATTAACATTGGGGGCAAAAAATAATTGTTTCATACAAGGAAGCTGGGGATGAGTGTACAATTTTAATGCACAGTAAAATATTACGAATAATTATAATAAGAAAGATGATAAAATCACATAGTGTTCGGTAACGCCCAATTTGTTTTTGTAGATTTTTATGAAACCACTGGTGGATGGTATATTTATATAGACGTATACATGTACTTTGCTTTAAACTTGAGAACAGCTGTATTTTAGGGCAGATGAATCAGAATGAATAAAAAATGTACCTGTACAGTAGCAAAAAAGCTTACAAAACTTTTTTGAAGTGATATTAAATCTGTCTTGTCAAAAATAACAAGGCTATGCCAGATGAAATAAACTCCTTTTTGAATTGTTTGCTGTCTTAGAATGATTTAAATCACACCCAACAAATATGGTATTTTTGGTTTATTTTTTCTGAGCTAGACATAGAGAGAGCTGTTGTTCTCACCCTGGTGCATTTCACGGTCTGACACAGGTTATATTTATGAGTGCAAAATTCGATGAAATTAAAAAAATCATTACCATTGAATGGTTAAAAAAATATTGTAAATTGCTACAAATATTTATTCACATGTGATAAGGATATTTTTAACAGCAAGTGATTTTCATGGTAATTTTTACTATAACACCACAGTCGAAACTTTTTTATTACATAATGAGGCATCTCCTTTAAAGGAGATCATTGACACACCATACCATAGACTGATGTACAAATTTCTTGTATGTACCTTGTATATAATCTTGTTATGTTTTACAATGTTAATATTATATTTTCAGAATGTCGTGAAGCTGACCAGCATGCCTCATACAGAGAGTACCGAGGCCAGTGTGGCCAATATACTGAAAACATTAGAATCAAAGGAGGCCACCTGTAAAGATAGATGTAATGCATATAACCAATTGACAAGGTATATCTTACAAAATTCATCACTGTTCTTTGCATGTAAAGGCCCTTTTACTTACCTCAAGGGTTCAACTACTGTGAATTCATTTGATTTTTGGGGCATGAAATTTAGTGGTTTTTTTCACAAAAGACATTTATCATGCTTTTTGAATTCATGGATTGCCTATTTTTACAAAAGAAATGGAAAAATTGTAATGATTTTATGGCTGATGAAATGAAATTTGTTGGAACTGAAATTCACGGATTGACCTACCCACCAAAACTACAGAAAATTTGTGCCCCTCCAATAATAATGATTTTACAGTATCAGGTTCATTTTTTATGCCAAATATGGGTACTTTTTCTACCAAGTAAGGAAAAATTATTCCCACAGTAAAGCAAAAAAATTTAATGAGAAATCAGTATTTTTAGATCAACTATACAAAGAAAAGATGGGCTGTCTTATTTGGGTATCAGTGTCTGCACATTGTGTGTGTATTTGCGTTTATTTATACTCGCCACCGGTTGCCCATATGGGCGAGTCCTCCAGAAGAGTATTAGTCATTTTAGATTTTTGGAGGATAGTGCAATTACAGATACAGAAAGATGCCCCAATTCCAGAAGCTTCTCCTGGTTCTTTAGCGTGCCAGGTGTTTAAGCACCCATACACGGGACCTCGATTTAAAGTCTCATCCGAAAGACTGATTAGTAATTTTAGTTGGCCAGCCCGGGAATCGAACCCACAATGTCGAATTCTGCACAACACTAGTTAAAGTTTTTATGTGCGAGTTGAACAATATCATATCTCATTACCAGCCAAAGACTAACTTTACACATGTCTTTTATTTATAATAAAAATAATAATAATTATGAAGGTCACTTTTCAGGGCCCATTACTGGGGCATTGATTTTGACATAATTATGGCCCTTTCTTAACTAAGAAAATTCTTTACTCATCACTATTTGGCATGTATATCATATAAAAGCTTGTTTTGAAACCAAGAAATGAGAAAAGTTGAGTGTGCTGTTGTACTGACAGTTCTTTGTTCTCAGGAGTATCTGCTTATATAACAATAGTAAAAAAAAACAAACTTAAACGATTTAAAAATACAAAACAAAACAACCCCTAAAACTTTGTCTGGTCTGATTAATTACAATTTATTGATTTATTTGCGTTAGATAATGCATGTAAATAAATTATTGTGCACGTTGATTTTGATTCTTATTTTCTCAAATAAAAAATTACCTTTACAGGCGAGCTTTTAATCATAGATGTTGTGAAAATGCTTCATGTTTGGACATTTAAAGAAATATTGATTATCTTTATAGAATAGAGAATTATAGGCTCAAAATATTAAAAAAAAAGAAAGAATAAAAAGATGTACAGATGTTACCATATTGATTACTGATATTTTATAAAATGATACAAACATAGGCAAATATATACTTACCATTCTAACTGATCTTTCTTGTGTTAACAGTTTATTCAGGGAAAATGAAGCAAGTTCGTTCGGATCGGACATGTCAAGGAACATTACCAGGGTGCTAAAAGTGATTAAAAATGACGTGAACTCAAATTCTCATGAAGTTACCAACATAGCACTACAGATTTTGGGAGCTTGCCTCTATGATACTCAGATAGCGTGGTGAGTAGATTGTAATACAAATATATTAAAAATGTCTTGGCTGGAACTTTATTAATGAGCCGCGTCACGACAAAACCAACATAATGGCTTTGCGACCAGCATGGATCCAGACCAGCCTGCGCATCCCTGCAGTCTGATCAGGATCCATGCTGTTCGCTTACAAACTCTATAACAAGTAGAGAAACTGATAGCGAACAGCATGGATCCTGATTAGCCTGCGCAGATGTGCAGGCTGGTCTGGATCCATGCTGGTCGCAATACCATTATATTGGTTTTGTCATGACGCGGCTCATTTATTCTTATTTCCATATGAAGTGACATCTTTTTAAACCTTCAGTATTGTGTTATGTATTCATTATGACAAACATTTTATTATTTGTAAAAATTTTATCTCAGGAATGCATAACCTGGGATGTATTGATTTTTGACAGGTTTTTAAAAAACTTGTATGCCAAAGTTGTTATCATGCCAGTTATTTCAGTATATAAATTAAGGGTAGGAAGTAATTACTTCTTCGCTAGAAGTAGCATTTGATAAGCATGGTAATATGGATTCTTTGACTCAACATATATTTGGATCATGCCCAATGAAGGCTTTTTTTTATGACATTTTGGAATATAACCTTGACCTCTCCTTAACCTTGTGTTTGTAATTTTTTTTTCAGCCATATTAAGAAAACAGATTGTATAGGAATGCTGAAGACACTGTGCCTTACTGTACACAACACGAAGGAGAAGAGTACATGTTCTTGTGCTCTTTGGTGTCTAAAATCACAAAATCTTGATCCAGCTATCATCACTTCAAAGGTAGGACATAACTTCTTTTATAAAGTTTCACACACAGAAGAAAAATACTGTAAAATATTTCAAGTTTGTGTTGTTATAATTTCACCTTTTTTGTTCAAAAAGATATGTTTTCCTTTATGTATATTTTGGGTGTCTGTGCTCGAGTGATGAAGATTGTTGATTTTGAACCATTTGCCCTTCATATGCCTTGAGTTTGAATCCTGCAAGGGACTCTGTTATCTTTCATGTGAGGAAGATTTCAATTAGGTGCCAATAGTGTTTGAAACAGTGCAAGAGTGTTGCTTTTTTTCCACACTTAAAGCTGGAACTTTGCAGTTTAACCTGTGCAGTATTGGTGTAATTTAAAACCCAACAAAACAAACAATAGCTTACAATTATACCAGTGAATTACATTTTGATAATTTTAAAGTTAATCTATCTTTTTAAAGAATTAGACATCATTATATGCATAAATGAGCCGCGTCGTGACAAAACCAACAGAATGGGTTTGCGAGACCAGCCTGCGCATCCGCACAGTCTGATCAGGATCCATGCTGTTCGCTTACAAACCCTATAACAAGTAGAGAGACTGATAGCGAACAGCATGGATCCTGATCAGACTGCTCGGATGCGCAGGCTGGTCTGGATCCATGCTGGTCGGAAACCCATTATGTTGGTTTTGTCATGGTGTGGCTCAAATGTCTTGAAATTTTCAGGCTGATGATATATTAATGGCTGTGGAATTTGCTGTTGAGAAATGGTCAGGTCTTTCAGTGTCTGTCATACATGAATGTATCAGTACCATTGAAAGGTACATATATTTTTACCCCCCATAGTAGTTAGGCCTAACAAAATAGGCCAAAAATATAGGAAACATATTTTTGAGATTGTTTTCACTTTCCATTTATTCTTAAATTTGCTAGTGTAATCTTTTAGCCATAGGAATCAAAATTCATTCAGTAATATGTTTCTGTACATTTGCTTTTAATTAATTTACCATGTTTACATTTGATGCATTAATCAAGGTTAAACTCTCAAGCACCTAATGAGATGAGGAGTATGGCTTTACGCTGGGGTAAATTATTGATACCCCTCGTAGTACATGGAGCTATACAGGTGAGAGAAGGTGCTCTCACTCAGATAGAACAAAATCTCGACAAACTCAAGGAAGTGCACAAAGATCTTATTGCTGATTTAAAGCCAGTGATCAGACAGGTAGGGAAATGCACAATTTACAGTTTTGATAAAGGACCAGGTGTGATTGATATCTGGGATTTATTCTGATGTAAAATATAGATGTATAATTAACATACAGATAAAGTATATTTTGTATAGAATTGAAATGGGAGGGCTGTAGCCACCGCTGTACCTTCAATAATTGTTTTGTCTTTCTAATTTTATATACAACTTTATAATGACTTTACAGTCACACAAAGCACATGTATGCTTGAAATACTAAAAAAATTCAAAACAGTTCATTATTTGGCTCATGACCAATAATGTTTTTAATGTGTCATTAAACAACTAACAAACAAACATTGTTTACCTCTGGTTTCAGTTTTATAAAGTGTAGATCTTTCATGTCAAATGTCAGCTGTTATGTGAAAGAGCTTTTACATGAAATAGTCAGCTGTTATGTGAAAGAGCTTTTACATGAAATAGTCAGCTGTTATGTGAAAGAGCTTTTACATGAAATAGTCAGCTGTTATGTGAAATAGTCAGCTGTAACATGCTATCAGCTGTTATTAGAAATTATCAGCTGTTATGTGAAATAGTCAGCTGAAATGTGAAATAGTTAATTGATTTGTGAAATAGCTATTTAATGAAACTATGGCAGTACTTTAGAGGCCCACATGGAAGATTGGGAAACCAAATGTGTAGCCTCGATAAATAAAGCCTTTACTTACTTACTTACTTACTTACTTACTTACTCTTGGTATGACATAACAGTTAACTAAAGGCTATTTTTCACCAATAAAAGGTTAAAATGACTTTTCTTTGTATTGATGTTAATTTCAACGCAACAGAAAATATGCGCCGCATCACGACAAAACCAACATAATGTGTTTGCGACCAGCATGGATCCAGACCAGCCTGCACATCCGCGCAGTCTGATCAGGATCCATGCGGTTCGCTATCAGTTTCTCTACTTGCTATAGGGTTTGTAAGCATACAGCATGGATCCTGATCAGACTGCATGGATGCGTAGGCTGGTCTGGATCCATGCTGGTCGCAAACACACTATGTTGGTTTTGTCGTGTCGCTCAATTATAATATACAACTCAAAAACAAAGAAGAATATTCAACTGGTATGATTTGAATTTTTTATGGAAAATATCAAGTTTGTTAGCAGGGAAATGTATATTTTAATAATTTAATATTTTGCTGTCTTTATAGAAAGTTCTGCCAGCTTTAAAAGGTTATTTCAAGGAAGGACCTAAAGTAAATGTGTATGCTCTAAAAGTTTGGAGTACACTTGTTCAGCTGTATGGAGAGGTTAGTATAGTACATATATTCTATAATATAGACAATTTTTTTTATATATTTTACCTTGAAAAAAGGGTAGTTCATATTCTGACCTTACATGTGTTAATAAAGTGTTAAACTTGTTCTGACATTGTAACCTGTTCCTCTCATAAAAGTTTATGTAGTAAATTAAGATAGGGAAATGAAAATGCATGCAGTGGCTTCCTTGGGACTTAACCTGTCCAGTTACATCAGTCAAGGTTATCAATTTATAATATACTTCAACATTTGATTTGAATGATAAACTTAATTGCGCTTTTCGTTATTTCATACATAACATAAGTTTTGTGGTTACATTTTTTTTTTGATGATCTATAACTTTCAAGAGTGTTTCACTGAGTATAGTAAAGAAAATTCGACAGTTGTCATAAATAAGCTATTAACACATAAAGTGACATATTTGCAGTATAATATAATCATCACATATCTCTTTATATTTCACCCATTGAAAGTTATGGTCTGTCAAGTACTGATTTTTTGCCATATATTTTACATTTTCTGGATATGATATTTGATTTCAGGCTATTATATCTGCTGTCAATCTTAATGGACTGACATTCAGCTTGTCCTAGGAATGTTATACAGCTTATTGCTTGTTTATGTTTTAGGTTTATTTACCCTCAACATGTTAAAATTACCACATGAGCAGGCATTACTTTATGATGCTTTCCTTTACCTGTTTTTTTATAATGACCAGTGTAGTAAAACCGTTTTTGTCACTGATTATATTGCTTAATCATCTATGTACACCATTTATACACTGTCACAAATTTACTCAATATATAATAACATACAGTGTATTGTAGTCATGTAAAACTTAATAAAAAAAAGAAATAAATCTATAACAAGACATAAATGCTATGTACATATATATGTTACAGGAACTGCACCATGCAAGTTATATCAACGAGTTTCTACCAGTTGTAGAACTTGGTTTTAAGAGTACGGAACCTCGTGTTAAAGTGGCAGCCTTCCAGGCGTGGCGCAATCTTATAGATAACTTTGCTATAAGTCGCAGTGAGTAGTCTAATGTCTATACAATGATGTTGGAGAAAGATTCTGTATCACATTTAGTATTTTCTAATATATTACACACATTGAAATTTTTGTATTTTTATTAAACTATCAAATGTCAATGACAAAAAATTTTTAAGGGTCAAGCTAATTTTTTGAAGAGTAAAATCTTTTAAGATTTTAAAGCAGAACGCCTCCAGATTAATGTCAATTTTCATGAAAATTTAAAATTGTATTTAAAAGTAGAATATTGTGAGGTGAACAAATAAAGTAATTTAAATATTGCAATCCGGCACTTTTAATCCAAGAAAATTACCAAAATGTGGTCAACATATGTAAAAACAGCCCTTACTGCGTTAGTAACGCAGTAAAGATATGGTGATAAAATACTGCAAAATCAGTCTGAAACCGCACATAACATGGCAATTTAACTTGGATCTTGAATGTTTTTACCTTTATTAAAATGTTAGTACATTTTGCTCAATATTGTTTTTCTTGAAATATTTTGGCTAATCTGGAGGCGTGCAGCTTTAAGGATCAATAAGCTAATTTCATCTATACGAAAATCAAAAAGTAAACCAATGCGTTTACAAAAAGAAAAAGAAACTATATTTTACAATATTCCCAATTCTTATTACAGCTTTGATTCAGGATCCAAAGAGAGTTAAACTTATAATGCAGGTGTTTAAACATAATAATGCTAGAACAGAGACTGTTGCCATGGAGAAGTTGACATGTTGGTGGCATTTTCTGTGGTTGCTAGGCAGCAAAGTTTCACCTAACTTTGATATGGTAAATAGCAGCATACTGTTATAGTTCATTTATAAATGTCAGGTGTTAACATGAGGAAGATATCTAGCTTATTAGTGTTAAATTGATAGTTGTTCTACTTTGGGTTCTTTTCTGTGCTAATTGATTTCTTTTCTATGCTATTTGGGTTCTGATTTTATGCTAATTAGGATCTTCTCTAGTGTTGCTAAGACTCTTTTACGTGCTACTGGGGCTTTTTCTGTGCCTGAAATGATACAGCCTTCCAAAATAAGGTGCATTTAAACATGAACTGAAAGATGAAAGATTTATTTTTTTATTAATTTTAATATTTTGTCTACAAATAATAATCATACATTTAAGTTAGAAATTAGTGGACCTGTCGAGTTAATAATTTTGATATTTTGTTTACAAATGATAAGCATACATTTACATTGAAAATTGCCTTATGACCTGGAGAATTCATTAAAAATAAAATCTATTGAATTTGATTAGGCATATACTGTATCCTATGATTTAATATTTTTGGAAATTTTTTTTATTGATTTTAACACAATGCTTAGATATGTCAAAAGAACAAAGTTATTCGTATACTGATTTCTGAAAGTCTTGACACAGTAGAGTAAGCTGTTTTAACACTGAACGAATGAAATATAAATTGTTTTTACAGGTGGCAGGTCCATTGCTTCATTTTTGTATTGGTGGACGACAATTAGATCAGAATGGAGCTGCAACACCAAGTAAGATAAGATCGTGCATTGTTTGATAGGACTAAATTACTAAAATCCATTAATCCTTACCATACTAAATGGACCTGTCTATCTCTCAATCCAGACAAAACCATTATCTATAGCGAAAATTTCAAGATTGACTGAAATTGCTGACAGTGCAGACCAAGATGAGACATGAATGACGCGCCAGCTGAACTTGGTCTGCATTGGTAGAATCTCTTGCCGCCACCAGTCTAAAAGTTAAAAAACAGTCTTTTTAAAATTTGAAAAATGGTAGAAATTTTGACCTATTATTGTTATAAAGAATAAAAATCTGATTGTCATAAGTCATGTTAAACCTATATAGTAGGTATTTCAAAAAAAATCCTTAAAGAATGTTGAGTCTAAAGTCAAGTTTTAATATGGTAATATTTGTAGAGTGAACTGTAGTATTTTGCTTCTTAGTGCAAACAGTTAATTGAAATTCATCATTTTGTGGTAGCCAACAATTTTATATATTGTATTTCTGCTCTTGTGTAGATAAAGTTATCATCATCATCTCATATTTTGGATGTAAATACTAATGTATTGAACATTTGTTACAGAACATATGAAGCCAGGTACCAGTCCTGTAACACCACATCTTAAGCTGTCAAATGCCGGGCACCAAGATTTTCCAGTATTCCAGTCTTTACACCTCTTAGGTTGTGAAGCACTTGCTCATTTTCTTGGAAGTACAGAAGCTGGGGAGACTCCTCATAAATTCAGACTAGGTATGTAAGAAAATAACATAATTGAGCCGCGTCATGACAAAACCAACATTGTGGGTTTGCGACCAGCATGGATCCAGACCAGCCTGCGCAGTCTGATCAGGATCCATGTTGTTCGCTTACTAACAGTATAACAGGTAAAGAAACTGATAGCGAACAGCATGGATCCTGATCAGACTGCGCGGATGCGCAGGCTGGTCTGGATCCATGCTGGTCGCAAACACACTATGTTGGTTTGTCATGGCGTGGCTTATATTTTTACAGTTTCAGTATTTTCGAGAGAAAATTAGGTTAAGGATTGTGTTAATTACTTACCTTAAATATCAAAAAAAAATTGATCTAAATTATTGGTTTTTACAGAAAAAATGTCCTCCTTAATCAGTTACAAATCACTAGATATAACTATTTTTTTTCAAATGTCAAAATTCTCAGTGTTGCTGTTCTTGTAACTTATTTTTTCCAAATTAATCTAAAGTCACAATTTAGAATGATCACAACTGGATGTGCTAGGGTATCTCCCAGAAATGGTGAAAAATGGCAGTGAAAATACGTTAAAAAGATGTGTAATATTTGTTGGGTGTTGTATGTATACATTACATTATTCACAAACATATTTCTATTTTCAGATCCTTTAACACATGAAGTTGTGACTGGGCCCTCATTCTTCATTAAACATTCCACACTGCTGATAACTTCAGCCATAAAACTGTTCACTGGTCTAGGTCAGAATGCACCAGGTAAGTTCTTAAAACAAAGTTTTGGCTATTTTTATGTTATAACTGGGACATAAAGACCTTTTTGAAGCTCAAGTTTGCTATATTCTCTCATATTGAGAGTGCTTGTACTGGTGCAGGAACGTGTCCTATTGGTCTTAGAATAATCTCATTCATTGATTATGAATGAAGTTCATGTCAGTTTATTTACTATTATGAAAAAAGATATTACAGAATAAAAAGCGTCTGTTATTTCTTATAAAAAATGAGCAACTGGTAATAGGTAGAAAAAAATATCAAATACTGGCTACAGGAGCAGACAAATTGTTACCTTCAAGCTGGATATTTGGGGTTTATACTAGCTAGCAGCAAATGTTAGATTTCTTATGATATTAAAAAATTTTCATTTTTTAATTTTGGTCTAGTTCAGGGTTCTTTGGAAAAATAAAAAGTTCTAAAAATTAAAAGGCATAAAGGGGTACTTTAAACTTCTTTTAGGGGTTTTTTTTTATTGAACAAAAAATTTCCCAAAGTGATTTTTAAACATTTTTTCTCAAAGGGGAATTTTATTACAGTTACTGTAATTTAAAATTTTTGTTTTTTTTAAAAACAAAAAACTGAATAAAGTAAAAAAAAAGGGACATTGGAGATTGTTTATCTCATAATTTTACTAAATATATGTTGGATTATTTTGGCTTTGCAAATAAATACCATTAATTTATCCAGTATAATAAATTAATATGGAAAAAAGGCTTTTGTACCTAACTATGCATCCGCGCAGTCTGATCAGGATCCATGCTGTTCGCTTACAGACCCTATAACAAGTAAAGAAACTGATAGCGAACAGCATGGATCCTGATTAGACTGCGCAGATGCGCAGGCTGGTCTGGATCCATGCTGGTCGCAAACCCATTATGTTGGTTTTGTTGTGACGTGGCTCATTTATTTCTGTACGTATTTCAGAGAGTTTGGTTGTACATATCTGGCAATGGTTGATAGCACATCTTAGAAATGCTGTTGAAAGCCCAGCTAAATTAGACATCCGAGAAACACTAAGTATCTTGTTCCTACAGTTCCAGAAACTTGTACAGAGTAAAACACTACCTAATGATGTCATACTGGTAAGAATTAATTTGTAGAAACATTTAACTCTGGGTATATTAAAATTGTTCTCTGTACCTCTTAGAAATTAGTGAATAAATTGAAAGAACAAAAACAATATTAATGGGAGTCTGTCTTTGTATCAAAGGATTCAACAGTAGAGGAGAAAGTATGTAAGAGGAAGGGCTGCTCACTCAATAGGACTGTAAACATTAACTCAAGGGTCCATGGTTCAAGGATGGACTGCAAAATACTTTTCCAGAATTTACCTTATAAATATCATATAGGTCATACAGACAAGTACAATATGCTTTATAGATAATATGGACAAGTCAAAATCGTAATTTTGACATCATTGCCGAGTGGTTAAGGTTGTTGACTTCAAACCACTTGCCCCTAACTGCTGTAGGTTCGAATCCCCGACAGTGACTTTGGATTCTTTCATGTGAGTAAGCTATCCAGCTAGCTTATGGAACGTCGGTGGTTCTACTCAGGTACCCGTTCGTGCCTGAAATAATGCAAGGAAGGGCACCTGAGGTCTTCCTCCACCAGTAAAGCTGGAACATCGCCAAAATGACCTTTACTGTATTGGTGTGACGTAGAACCCAATCAAAACAAACAAAACAAAGACATCATTGATCTACTTTGGCTATTCACCACTAAATTCAGCAATTTTTTCAATGATTTTAGGGATACTTTTACTTTTAAGTGTAGTTTATACTGTAGACTTGTAATATATTGTTGAATTGTAGATTTATGAAAAATATTGAATATTTATTCCTAATGAAAGTTTATTATTTACAGAAAATGTTTACAAATTTGTGTGCCATACCAAAAAAGATTCTGTGCTCTAGTGCCTACAGTATTGGTGGAGAGGAAATGATTCATGTATGTACAATGAAGTTTCTTATATTTTTGTCTTGGCATTTAGATAATTATTTTACAATTTTTAGCTCGACTTTTCTATGAAAAGGGGAGCTATCCTACTCGCCCCGGCGTCGGCGTCGGCGTCACACCTTGGTTAAGTTTTTCATACCACCCCACTTTATTTCAGAAGTATTACAAGTATGGCTTTGAAACTTACCATACTTGTTCACCATCATAACCTCCATCTACAGACAAGAGTACATAACTCTGTCAAGGTTTTTGACAGAATTATGGCCCTTTTTTGACTTAGAAAGTGTATTGAGCTTGGTTAAGTTTTTTGTACCACCTCACTTTATTTCAAAAACATTGGAGGTATTGCTTTGAAACTGACCATACTTGTTTACCATCACGACCTTCATCAACAGACAAGAGGACATAACTCTGTCAAGGTTTTTGACAGAATTATGCCCCTTTTTGACTTAGAAAATACATTGAATATGGGTAAAATCCACTTATTGCCTTAACCCTTTGAGATATTGCTTTGAAACTTTTAATGCTATTTCACATCATTACCCCCATCTGTACGCAAGAGAAGGTAACTCTGTCAAGGATTTGTTTTAAAAATTAAGGCCTTTTATCGACTTAGAATCTTGGTTAAGTTTTTAGTACCAGTCCACTTTTTGACTGAACTGTTTGAGATATTAATTTGAAAGTTGGAATACTTGTTTACAATCATGATTCCCAAACATGTCCAGGAGAAGGTAATTCTGTCAAAGATTTTATTTGAATTATGGCCCTTAACTGTCAATGTTTTGTATTATAGGCAAGCACTAAAAAACTTAAAAAATCTAAAAAAATTCATTCCTATCCACTTGTTCACTTTACCATAAATTATGTCATATAAACATTGCTGTAATATTCAAGGGTATCAAACAACTAGTTCACTTTAAAAATACAGAGATTCTTGTATTGCCTTTTACTGCAAAAACTTTTTTTATTGGCAAGCAATAAAAAAGTCGAGCGCGCTGTCTTACGGACAGCTCTTGTTATCTCCCTTGACAGCATTGGTTGTAATTTTATAACATTATAAAAATAATTATTAAGTTATTAATCTGTTTAGTTTATCTATTTTCCCTTCATGTTACTGAACCTTTAATATTTGATGTATAATTGTCAGCCAGGGGAGACAATCATAATGCATGCCAATTAAAAAATCTCCATTTATTTCATATTTATTACTATAATTTCTTTCGTTATTTCTATAAAAAACATTTTCAATGAATAATTAAGTGTCAATTACACTTAATTACATGAAGAAGTAATAGGATTTTGATTGAATTAAAAAATGTTCTTGTATTACTGCAGGTAAAAGTTCCAAAATCTTACAATTTTTTATTTTAAATGTTTGAACTTGCAGGGCACCCCAGCACTGTTTATCACAGGATTGTTTCTAGACCCAGCGTTGCTGGCTGACTGTTCCCAGCAAGATGCTTATCATGACCTGTTTAGCTCATTGTTAACCAATGGTACAGGTAATTCTACGAGTACTTTAGGGTTCCTACAGTCCATGATGGAGATACTGAAGGAGAACGCCAAGTATGTGGAGGAGAAGGAAACATTGTGGAGATTGTGGAGTGCCCTTGAACATCTAGTCCTACAACATATATCTAAGGTATAATCTATATGTAATACATATTTATATAACTATTTGTGAAAGATGTGGCACATACTAAATGATCTTTCTTAAGAATTTTGGTTTTCTGTTATTAACCAGGTTTTCAAAGAAAACCGGGTTATTGTAATGCCGAAGTCAGCTGGCAGGCGGGCGTCTACTTTTCATTCCGCTCAATAACTTGAGTGTACTTGGCCTATTGACACCAAACTTTGTGTGTGGTTAGCTTTTATCAAGAGGCAGCTTGGGATTGCTACCAAGGTGTCTGTGATCAAGGTCACTGTTACTAAAAATAGAAATTCAGTTTCCGCTCAATAACATTGGTTTGTTTAGGCCTAATGACACCAATCTTGGTGTAGGGGTAGCTTATATCAATAGGCAGCTTGATATTGCTACGCAATTCTCTGTTCAAGTCAAGGTCAGTGTTGCTAAAAATAGAAATTTAAGTTTTTGCTCAATAACTTCAGTTTGCTTAGACATATTGATACAAAACTTAGTATATGGGTACCTTATAGCACGGATTTATATTACAGAGATCGGACACTCCCAGTTAACCCTATATAAATGCTTAAATATCTTGTCGTGCACCCAATAAAGGTTCATCGATCGATAATTTATCGGCGCTAAGCGAAAATGCCCGTTCGCAACGGATACCTACTTTACAAAATACCATATAGCTTTTCCATTTATTATCCGATTTTTGAAATTTAAAGTTTATTTTCAAGAAAAATGCTTGTTTAATTCAAATATCTAATTTATTTTTTAAAGATACAGACTATCTGTCTGCAACGACGATTAAGAAATAAACTTTACGAAATCCGCGGTAAATTTACATTTTTTATATAAAAAGCAGATATTTGAAATTTATTATTACGGTTACATAATAAATTCAATTTCAAAATAAAAAAGAAGCCAATGTAAGTTATTCACAGTTGATCAAAGATGCAATATTTAAGATTTATTTGGTTATGTAGTCAAATTAATTGACGCACAATTGTTTTACGGGTAATGTATTGCGGGCTTTACAATTCGCTCAACACGTAATGTAAATTTATTCATTTTTTCAATACAAGATATTGCTGATATTGTCAATACATGTATTGCCATGTTCATAGGATATTTAAATTTTCTTCATCATTTATATCATTATTATTTTTTTTGTAAATCTGTTTTCCAAATGTCGGTGCAGTGAAGTAGACAATCATCGTAACAGTAAAGTACTCTAGTGTGGCTGTCTCGATTCCGGCCTTTTTAATGTCACTCGTATATTTAAATTATTTCACTCGTATATTTTAATTACTATTTTTAATTGAATGCCTGTAGAAAGATATTACTGATATTTTTTAATGTAACGCTAAAAAAAACAATAAAAATCTTTACAGTTTGAGTCAGTATTATGCGAAATAAAAGTAACTGTTGTAATTTTTTACACATCGCTTAAATTTCTTTGAAGTTTAATTACTTTTGAAGGGGGTTTATTACCAGATAACAAGTGATAATTGAAACACTTTATTTTCAAACTTTCATTATCAGGTTACATGTGATAATTTCAACACTCAATCTTTAAATTAAATAGAATTTGAATGTATATATGTTGTATGTGCGCGGTCTTTAACTACAGTCCATGGAATGTGTGGTAAGAAAATGATTCTGAAGAGGATATATATAAATACAATGTAAATCTATTTTCTTTATTAACATTTATAATTGAAATTGAAAATAAACAACTTAATTTGTATAGTCCTTTCTTTGAAAAAAAAAATGAAAATAAACATATGACAAATAAATCATTTGACGTGAATTGTGAAGGATAACTATGAAAAAAATCGGTTTAAAATATATATATATATAAAACAGCTGTTCTATATGCCAATAAAAGTTTCTTCATTGCCAATCTAATGAATTCATCTATATATGAACGAATGTCTAGAATGATCTGAAAATGTATTTAATACACTAATTAGTAGAATATTTACTATATTTATACTAACATACAGGTAGATCAAATAAAACATGTACAAATCATTTGGAAATAATTCACAGAAATAAAGACACATCTCAAACATGAATTTCTTTAAAAGTATTTTAGAAATCAAGAAACATTTTTTTGCAATGCCACCATTAAACCATGTAAAAAATAATTATCTTAATCTGAATCGCGGTAATAATCTATGCTTGACGTAAAAGGGCGGCAAAGTGTAGAGAGTATGCCTAAACAATGGGCGAATATTTTTTAAATTAGGTACTTTTTAACTAAGCGTTGCAGCCTTCTATCGGCATATTTTCATATATTAATACTTTAGCTGCACAAAATAATACTGTATCTATACATTCATATGTGTATAATTTTTCACAGAGCTGCACTAACACCACATACTCTTGTGAAAATATGTCATATTTCACACTCTGAGCGTTCCGCCATCTCATTCTGTCCACCTTTATCCGATTCCGCGCATGTGCGCGACGGGACTTTAAGCTAAACGAAAGTGTCCGATCCTTGTAATTTAAATCCGTGCTTATAGTAAGAAACTACTTGGGCTAGCTGGCGTCAGCTGTTGCTAAAAATAGAAATTAGTTCTCCGCACAATAACTTGAGTTTGCTTAGACCTATTAACACCAAATTTAGTATGTAGGTAGCTTATATCAAGAGGCAACTTGGGGATAATATTTCATTCTTAATTCCTGTCACATCAATACATGGTGGTTGAAACCTGGTTTTCATTGCATTGCGGCGCTTCTTGTTTATTGTAGGCTAGTTTGAGTTTGCATATTTTAAAAAACCTTAAAAACATTAGTTTCAAGGATTTTTAGAAAAGAGGCCATTTGTCTTCTATGAAGCAGGATTTGACTGGTACAATTTTTGCTTCTTCCAGATCAAACCATTCAATATACATATAGTTAAAGCAAGCATCCAACCTTTTACACTTTTTTAAGGCAGTTTGTACAACTGACTCATATTTCAACATTTTTCTTATGCTCCCACTTAATTAGGTTTTATTTGGGGGTGGGGGGAGGGGATATATATTTATATTTACCATTGCCTGTCACTGTCTGTAAATTTACAAAATAGTGGTATGTGGGCATCAAAAAAGTGGCACATTCCAAGTTTTACTAAGAACAAACATTTATGATATGTTGTGTATTTTTCAGACCAATGAGATAAATCAAGGTGACTCACTGGAGCATGATTTTGGTTGCTCCGTTCAGACACTAATCTTTCCAGTAATACAAGATTTACACGAACTGCCACAGGTAAAATATTTTGTTTTGACTTTATTATCTATTTATACATGTTTACTTTGTTGTGAATCAATGTACATGTACTTTGTTTAACATACTCAAGTATTTGTTATAAAATATGCATATGATAATAATTTGAAAATTTTACAAAGAATTTAGCTGTTTATGTTATATACTTTAGGGTTTTAGGGTTCAATATTTTGATATCTTGAGTACATTTCTGTGTTTAAAACTGGTCACCTTTTATTTTTGTCTCTTAAATACGCCTTTGAGTTGCAAATCTGCAAGCAATGAACTGTTGATGTAAAATCTAACAGATCGGTGTGAATTTCATATATGGACTATTATCACTTTAGATAATTTAAAAAAAAGTTTGTTGTATTTTCAGACATTAGTGAAATCAATGATCAAAAGTTGGTCAGAACTTTATAAGACTGTGAATAGACTAGCAGCTATGGTGGCGAATGCCGAGGCAAACATTGTGTGTGAGGAAGTGTGTTCCCATGTGCTCGACCATTACCTCGAGAAAGACAATGTTGTATGTATATATAGTCTATTACCTATACATGTATATTGTATTTTTCAACAAATGTTTGTACCGGGTTTCCTTCACATTTCCTTTCATTTTACGAAATAAGCGTGAGTTAAACCTCAACCTTATGTCATACATGTGAACTTTTTTTCATGATCAAGTGGGAGATTTTTCTTCAAAAAGAGGGAGATTTTAGAATTTGCAATAAACAAAGAAGGAAGTTTTGACATCAAAAATAGGGAGATTTCTTTAATTTGTGAAAATACCCCTTATTTTAAGAAAAATCTTTGCAAATATGGCTGCAGAAAGTGGTAGTCTCCCGCTAAAAGTGGGAGAGTTCACATGTATGCCTTATGTTGACAATTTTAGATAATGCTAATCAGTTAAAATAATTTCAGGTGCAAAAAAAAAAATAAGATGTATATTTCTGTTCTCAACGTTTTTTTCCTGCTTATTTCTAGGAGTCAACAGAAGTTGATATGTTGGTACAGATGTGTCGTGTTGTAGTTACCTCACTGTATTTCTCCTCTGTTGGCAGTCAGCCAATGTTCAAAATGGGTAAGTTAGATACCTTAACCTGCTGAATTTCTTTTGCAAATGGAATTGTTCAGCTTCCGTATTTTAAACTTGTCAATTTAAAATTCAGGAACATCAAGATAAAAATTTAAAGTTGATAAGCCAATAGCATAGTGCGTGGTCAGACTGCTCAGCAGGTAAGGCATTATACTGGTTGGAAAATATCTGTAGGGTAAGGCTTAGAACAAAACAAATAACAAATAAAAGAACTTTTTTGTTGTCTTAATTTGTCGACATTGGCCTTTAAATTAATAATGATGTTTACTGTGAAAGTAATGCTTTGGTAATATTTTATTTATTTTACAGCAATAAGTCCAAAGAAGCTTGCTAAAAACCGACATAAACCATTGGAGAACATTCACTCTGTTGTTGCCTTACTTGGTTTGTTACAGAAGAAAGCTGTCACCCTTGTTAAAGACTCGGAAAATTTCAAGGTATTTATGGTTTTGACCTTTGATAAGTTAAGGTTATAAAGTGGGACACAAAATATTTAAGCCTTAGATCTTCGTAATTTGTTAAATTAAAGTTCAAAATTGTAATTAAAAGGTTTTATATTATTTTGACTATTACTTTTTGATATAGTAGCTTTGTTTAATTACTTTTATTAGCCAAATAATGTAGAAACAAGTAGGAAAGCTTTGTTATTTATTTAAAGAACCATTAAGCAGTTGAGTCATATTTAATTATGTTGATATTTTCTGTATGCATGAATATGATTTATTCTTATTTTATTTTGATGAGTAAAAAAATGTATTCATAACAAGTAATATTGGCATATTTTTTTCTTGTCAAGAAATCTACTGGTGTATCAATACAGACTGTTCTCAACAACTTAGTTGAAACCTTCTCCACAATCTTTGTCCATGTCACCTCTTCTAATGTGATCTCAAATCTGATTGGTAAGCTTGGTCGTCCAATAGGAGACCTGTTTGCAGATGCTCAAAGAAAGACTTCAGCAAAAGTATACAACAATTCTTTTGATACTAAGGTCAGTTGTAGATATAATTTAGATATTGATATGAGCCACGTCATGACAAAACACACGTAATGCGTTTGCGACCAGCATGGTTCCAGACCAGCCTGCACATCCCCGCAAGCGCAGGCTGATCAGGATTCATGCTGTTCGCTTACCAACTCTATTACAAGTAGAAAAACTGATAGTGAACAGCATGGATCCTGATCAGACTGCGCGGATGCGCAGGCTGGTCTGGATCCATGCTGCTCGCAAACGCACTATGTTGGTTTTGTCATGACACGGCTCTATTATTATAGGTAATGTCATTTGAAACAAAATAAGTCATTGCTATCAAAATACCATAGGCCTGTCTGAAAACACTGTTGAAAGAATCCCGAGAATATTTTAAATTCAGTCTTTAGATTTTTACTCGACATATTGAGCAAATGTGTGACATTGAAACAAAACAAGGTTGCTTTGCCAGATAAATATGCTAGATGATAAGTTACTTATTTCCTCCTGCTTTAAGTTTGATCCTTCAAATATTGATTCCAGAGTTGATTATTGAGAGGAGCTATTTGACTAACTTGTATGGAAGGAAGTTGATTCTATCCAGATACCTGCAATTACCTAATATTTTAGAATCCCTGGAATGGAATATAGTTAGATAGTTGACAATACAAATACTAGTTTGACAGAAAAATAAAATAGTAAAATATAAAGATAGAAATTTCAAACATAAGTGTTTAAAAAATACAGGTGTAAAATAAATCAGGCTGATAAAGATACAAAAATGTATTTTTTTAAAACAATTGAAAAATGTTTGATGAACATGTATTACAAAAAGTGATTGTTTATTTGTTTGTTTTTGTTTTTTAACAGTTGGAGAAGCTATGGTTAGACATGTGTACCTGTTTGCAGAGTAGATATACAGGCTTATTTGACAGTGATTTTCTGGAGAAATGTTCACCATTGTTAGAAGCCACATTCCTACATCCACGGAGACAGATTAAAAATCAAACAATGTCACTATGGACGTGTACATTTGGGAAAGCCGCCTTTCTTAGTTACCCAGAATCTTTGAAGTAAGATTTAATAATTGAAACATATTTTATGGCTTACAAAATTATGCACATAAAATCATTTATGGTACATTGTAATAAAATATTTATGGTACAATGTAATAGAATATAATATATTTTGAATTGGTGGCGTGGCCGAGTGGTAAATGCGTCAGACTAGTAATCTAAGGATTGCTGACTGCATGGGTTCAAACTCTTTCAAAGGCAAGGCGTTGTTTCCTTGAGCAAGAAACTTTACATTCATTGCTTTGTACTGGTTCGTTCCAGGAACGGATTCGAGAGTGTTTCAATAAGCTTATAGCTTCCAACACAATCAAACTAAAATAAATTTGTATAAACTAATAAAATATTCAGCAAACGGGTTGACCCACAAGTTGTCGCAACATAATAACGACTATGCTTATTGTGTTCCCTTATAGTTGGCTATTATTTAAAAATGAAAATTTTAGTAACAGTTCATTGGAAAATATATGAAAAACTGATGTCAGATGTTTCTTTGACACTGCCTGAAACTTGGACGAGTGTCTTAATTCTATCCTGGTTAATATAGTTGTAAAGTCTTGTGGTTAAAAATCAGTTATAAAAATATATAAAAAAACATGATCAAATCTGATGTAAAAATTAATTTTATTTTGTAGAAATAATATTTAAAAAAATACAGATATGAAGAGATCATACCATTTTTCACACTTAAATACTTTTTTTTCTATAGGCCAGTACTGTCAAAGGTGAAAGCCAAATCCATGATACAGTTACCTAACTGGGTGGCGACCATATCCCCAGTCATAGATGAGACCCCTATCAGTCAGATGACCCAAACACAAGCTCCTGAACCAAGGATCCCTGGCATGCCATCACCACACAAGATCCACGGTAGCTTCCTGAACAAACCAGTCTCACCGAAGCCGAGTAGGTCACCCATAAGAGCCCCACCATCTCCTGTATCAGAGAAAAAGAAAAAACTTAATCTTGACAGATTTAGTGATGGGGTAAGTAGTTTATATTTGTAAAAAAAAAAAAAAATGCATCTTTAGTCATTGTTTCCCCTCTAAATATAACAAGCATGAAGATTTCTGTCTTTTTGTTACCTTTATAAACATGAGCAGCACTTGTATTTCTTTTTAATTCCAAATTGAAAAAATCTAGGTAAATAAGAAAACTTAAACATTTATGTGTAATGATAATTTTGACTGTTTATGTGTAATGATAATTTTGACTGACATTTGTTAGAAAATATGACTGTTGTTGCTCAGATTTGATATTATTTGGTTCATCTTTGCAGTAAATGTCACATCTGATCTATTCAAAATCATGTATAATATTTTACTCTTATTCTGAAATGCAAAAAGGGAGTGTCAGACTGATGAATAAGCTTTCTGTTACTGAACTCACCGATTGCTGGGTTTTTATCATGCAACTGCCTGAGGTTACTGATTAATTAATTATAATTTGGTAACCCGATATCAAAAATAAGCTCTGCCCATTTGAATGGACTTTTTTTTTTTCAATAGCTGATATTTTCAATTTTACCTGTCAGCCTCTGAACTCTACAATTTTGTCTCGTATTCTTTAAGCTCGAATCAAGATGTCATATCTATCAGTTATATTCTGTTATTCAAAACAACTTAATTTGTATTGTTTAAAACCACTCACTTGAAATAACAATAATGATTTATTTTAGGACTTCGTATTGATTAAACATACCCCCAAGAAGAAAATGGTGCTTACTGAACATCAGAAAGAAGTTATGAAAGAAAAAAGGTAGGAACTGGACTTTTTTTTATTGATTGCTTAAAACACTTTGTGATTATTCCAGCATTTTCAAGATTTTTAGATCCCAAGAAGCCCTTTTTATACGCCCGTTTGAAAAACGGGACGTATTATGGGAACGTCCCTGGCGGGCAGGCGGGCGGGCGGCGTCCAATTTTGTCCGGAGCATATCTCCTACATGTATGGAGGAATTTTAATGAAACTTCATAGAAATGTTCACCACTATGAGGAGCAGTGTCGCGCACATGAACCAGGTCTCTAGGTCAAAGGTCAAGGTCACACTTGGAGCTCATTGAAAAATGCTTGTCCGGAGCAAAACTTCCACATGTATAGAGGGATTTCAATATTACTTGGCACAAATGTTCACCATTGTGAGGCGGAGTGTCGCGCGCAAGATTCAGGTCCTTGCGGTCAAGGTCACACATAGAGGTCAAAGTTCAGATAAAAATATGAAGATGTGTATATGGACCATTTAGTCATCATTTATTGAGGGATTGTAACACAAATGGTCATTATCAAGACTATGGCTGTGATACATATAATTTAGGTCAATATATACAAGGTCAAGGTCACTAAAGATGATGAAATATCCAGATTTTGTAAATAGAATTTAATCAAAGGGCGACAACAAAGTTATTACTTTGTTCATAAATGACTTACACAATTACTCCCCTTGATCTACTTTCACTTTCAATTCTAAAAATAGAATTTAATCAAAGGGCATAAAATAATCCTCTTTCTTGGACTTGAGTATGTTCTAAAGAATGTAACATTTATTTACACATGTTTCATTCATTGGTCAAGATTCTTAACTGTGATAACTATGGTGTTCTGTAGACTTGGTATTTGTTCATAAAGATCATACAGTAATTACCTTATCAAATGTAAATACTTTCTCATAGAAATTTAATTATATTTTAATTTTCAAGTAAATATCAGTTCAGCTCTCCTACATGTATGGAGGGATTTTCATGAAACTTCATAGAAATGTTCACCACTATAAGGAGCAGTGTCGCGCACATGAACCAGGTCTCTAGGTCAAAGGTCAAGGTCACACTTGGAGCTCATTGAAAAATGCTTGTCCGGAGCAAAAACTTCCACATGTATAGAGGGATTTCAATATTACTTGGCACAAATGTTCACCATTGTGAGGCGGAGTGTCGCGTGCAAGATTCAGGTCCTTGCGGCCAAGGTCAAGGTCACACATAGAGGTCAAAGTTTAGATAAAAATATGAAGATGTGTATAGGGACGATTTAATCATCATTTATTGAGGGATTGTAACACAAATGGTCATTATCATGACTACGGCTGTGACACATGTACTTTAGGTCAATATATGCAAGGTCAAGGTCACTAAAGATGGTGAAATATCCAGATTTTGTCTGGAGCATATCTCCTAAATGTATGGAAGAATTTTTATAATACTTTATGGAAATGTTCACCACCATGATATGTATTGCTCCATGCATGATCCAGGTCTCCAGGTCAAAGGTCAAGGTCACACTTAGAGCTCATTGAAAAACGCTTGTCCGGAGCAAAACTTCTACATTCATAGGGGGATTTCAATATAACTTGGCACAAATGTTCACCATTGTGAGGCTGAGTGTCGCACGCAAAATTCAGATCCCTGCGACCAAAGTCAATGTTACACATAGAGGTCAAAGTTCAGATTAAAATTTGAAGATGTGTATAGGGACCATTTAGTCATCATTTATTGATGGATTGTGGCACAAATGGTAACTATCATGACTACAGGTGTGACACATTTAATTTAGGTTAATATTTGCAAGGTCAAGGTCACTGGAGATGATTAAATATCCAGATGTTGTCCGGAGCATATTTTCTACATGCATGGAGGAATTTTAATGTTACTTTATAGAATTGTTCACCACCATGAGACGTAGTGCCCTGCACATGAACCAAGTCTCTAGGTCAAAGGTGAAGGTCACAGTTAGAGCTCATAGAAAAACGCTTGTCTGGAGCAAAACTTCTACATGCATAGAGGGATTTCAATATAATTTGGCACAAATGTTCATCATTGTGAGGCTGAGTGCCGTGCATAAAATTCAGGTCCCTGCGACCAAGGTCAAGGTCACACATCTTGTGCATATCTTCCCTACTGATTTGTTTTAAGGTTCATTTAACAACACAGTGCCAAGAATAAAAACTTGCTTGCTAGATAACACTTATCAATAATGCCCCCATCTCCATCTAAAGCTTTCGTAAACGGGCGTATTTTGTGACTATGGCACCCTTGTTATATAAATAAAAAAGGGAAAGGTGCCAGAGATTGAAAATCCACTTGGCCGCTCGTGATTACGAGTAGACTTTAAGAGAATTTGATGCAGGGCAAGTGGAAAAATGTTGCCTGCACATTGGATTTAGAAGCTACTCGTCCTGAAGGAGGAGTGACTAAAAAATAATTTTCGATGCCAGGGTGCATATGGAATTTTTAGAATTTCAAACTTTTACTATTGTTAAATATATTTGCCATTGACCATGGGGGCTTATAGATTTGTCCTTTAAGTTTGTCAATCTTCCAGTCAGTAGACTGACAAATCCCGAATTTAGGTTTGGTTTTAAGTTATTAGATTATTAAATGTCTTCCTGGACTTCATTTAAATATTGATAAGTAGCAGTTACAGCCATTTGTCACAATGTAATTCTACTCTGTTTCCAGTACATTGCCAGCCATGTATAATAGTTTAGAACACTCTGTAGATGCTTCTTTGATGGCAGCGCATTTTACAACTGATACTCAAATGGAGTAAGTATGCTAATAAAAGAACTTGTTCTTGTTTTCATACAAGTTAGATGATGTCTAATCAATGAGATATGAGACTCTGAAACAGTGAGATATAATGTATTGCATCAATTAGATATGAGGCTGTATTACAGTGAGATATAATATATCTCATCAGTGAGATATGAGGCTGTATAACAGTGAGATATAATGTATTGTATCAATGAGATATGGGGCTCTTAAACAGTGAGATATAATGTATTGTATCAATGAGATATGGGGCTCTTAAACAGTGAGATATAATATATTGAATCAATGACATATGTGTTTGTGACATGTCATCTGTGAGATATGTCTTTCAACGGTAAGATATAAGGCTTTTAAGCAGCGAGATATGTGGCATCCTAGCAGTATGAATATATTGTATGCTATCATTTAGATACAATGTCATCGGTGAAATATGATATCTCATTAATTATTGTTGAATCTGAAAGCATGCTTTATGTAACTTGATCGCTATAAGAACAACATATGACTGTGCTACCATGAACTCGAGAATTTTGCTGGTAATATTCAGCAATGTTTTTGTTTAAACATTTACATAAAGAAGGCCATGTTTTTTTTTTGTTTCAGTGGTACAATGAGTGAAACTCCTACACCTACATCTCAACCTTTCTCCCTGTTTGGTTCAGTTGTACCACCATCTAATCCAGGAGGAAAGGTGAACATATTTCTAAAAGTTAAAGTGATATGCTCAAATTTTGTTTTCACTGTCAAGTTGAGCTAAATAAGTAATATATTTCACAAGATTGGCTATCACAATGGAGTATTGATTATGAAAAACGTGTCTGATACAGTACAAAAACTACCTAATATAGGCTATATTATAATAAGATTGCCATACTCTTTTTAGCTCACCTGTCACAAAGTGACAGGGTGAGCTTTTGTTGATCGCTTTTCGTCCGGCGTCCGTCCGTCCGTAAACTTTTAATTTAAATGACATCTCCTCATAAACCACTAAGCCAATTTCATCCAAACTTCACAGGAATGTTCCTTTGGTGGTCACCTTTATAAATTGTTCAAAGAATTTAATTCCATGCAGAACTCTGGTTGCCATGGCAACCGAAAGAAAAAACTTTTAATATCTTCTTTTAAAAAACCATAAGAGCTAGAGCTTAGATATTGGGCATGAAACATCTTCTAGTGAGTATCTACCAAGTTTGTTCAGATAAAAGCCCTGGGGTTAAGATTGGCCCCGCCCCAGGGGGTCATTGATTTTCCCTATATGCATATAGTAAAAACTTAAAAAATCTTCTTTTAAAGAACCCAAAGAGCTAGAGCTAAGATATTTAGCATGAAACATGTTCAAATGGGTGTCTACCAAGTTTGTTCAAATAAAAGTCATGGGGTCAAAATTGGCCCCGCCCTGGGGGGTCATTGATTTTCCCTATATGCATATAGTAAAAACTTAAAAAATCTTCTTTTAAAGAATTCAAAGAGCTATGGCTAAGATATTGAGCATCAAACATGTTCTAATAGGTGTCTACCAAATTTGTTCAAATAAAAGCCAGGGCTGCCGATTTTCCGCGGATCCGCGGAAATCCGCGGATTTCGTGAGCTCCTGGGTCATTTTTGAGATCGATGTAAATTCGACAAAGACAATAAATTCATTCGTCATATTTTATACAGTACCCAGAAACTGGCACGCTTAGGCTTTTATCGTTACGTTAGCCGCCTATGGTACGTCTGTAAGCGCTTTTCTCATTGGTCATATCGAGTCTTTTCCGGCATTCTATTTTAGAATAACCAATCAAATTACAGTTTACATTGTCGCTCTTGTCTGTTGTCAAAATGTCGGATATTTGTCAAATTTAGAGTCCTGGAAATTGATTTTAGGGCATACCAAATCATCAGAACCCAGGAGCTTTCGGGGGCTTCGCCCCCTGAACCCCCACCAGGGCTCTGCCCTGGACCTGCAAAGGGGGCTTACACAGCCCCCTTGACCCCCGGCGTATTTTCCGCTGATTTTGAAATTTGCTGTTGGCAGCCCTGAAAAGCCCTGGGGTCAAAATTGGCATCGCCCCGGGGGTCATTGATTTTCCTTATATGTGTAAAGCAAAAACTTAAAAAATCTTTTTTAAAAAAACCCAAATAGCTAGAGTTAAGATATTAAGCATGAAACATCTTTAAGTGAGTGTCTACAAAGTTTTTTCGAATAAAAGCTCTGGGGTCAAAATTGGCCCCAACCCGGGGGTCATTGATTTTCATTATATGAGCCGCGCCATGACAAAACCAACATAATGGGCTTGCGACCAGCATGGATCCAGACAAGCCTGCGCATCCGCGCAGTCTGATCAGGATCCATGCTGTTCGCTATCAGTTTCTCTACTTGTAATAGAGTCGGTAAGCGAACAGCATGGATCCTGATCAGACTGCATGGATGTGCAGGCTGGTCTGGATCCATGCTGGTCGCAAACCCATTATGTTGGTTTTGTTATGACACGGCTCATATGTGTATAGCAAAAACTTAAAATCTTCTTTGAAAAAACCCAAATAGCTAGAGTTTAGATATTAAGCATGAAACATCTTCTAGTAAGTGTCTACAAAGTTTGTTCATATAAAAGCCCTGGGGTCAAAACTGGCCCAGCCCCAGGGGTGTCATTGTTTTTAACTATATGTGTATAGTAAAAACTTTAAAAAAATCTTCTTTGAAAAAGCCCAATGAGCTAGAGCTTAGATGTTTAGCATGAAACATCTTCTTATGGGTGTCTACCAAGTTTGTGCAAATAAAAGCCCTTGGGTTAAATTGGCCCTGCAACGTTGGGGGGTGGGGGTTGGGGGGGAGCCTATATACAGGTGAGCGACCTCAGGGCCATCATGGCCCTCTTGTTTTTAAGAACTGAGCATTACGATACATATTGAAAGATATTTAAAGAAATATCAATTGGTCACATGGATTATTAATTTTATTTTTCATAGTGAAATATCAAGTTTAACAAATTAACACCATTATAGCAAAATGTCGTTATTTTTATTTTTACCTGTTTGTTTTACCTGTTTGTGCTGGTTTATAACATGTGCTAAAAAGAATTGTGTGTGAACTCCTACATCATTACTATGATTGAAATATATTTGACTTGAACATGTTTGGAGTAGTAGAAAAGTAAAAAAAAGAAAAAACCTCCAAGTTAATCATTTTTTAATTCAAACTGTATTTGTTTCAGGAGAAGGAAAAGCCATTGTCAAATAAAAGACCTGTGACCAACAAACTAGAGACCATGAAAGCTGCTGAAAAAATGAGAAAAACAGAAGCAGAGAATAATTTTGACACTGATTCAGATTCCGGTTTAAGACGTTCTTCAAGATTCAGAGACCACGAGGAAAAAGAGGAAAGTTCAGATGACAAATGGACGAAGTTTCGTACCAAAAAATCAGAAACTTTTAAAGCGCCATTGAAGAAGAATAGCATGACACGAAAAACTTTGGACAATAGTTTGATTATAATTGACGATGATGATGAACCAACTGATGGTGAATTTGGAACTGAAGATGAGCCTACAGATACTGAACACTTTGGAAATGATGAGGATTCGACAGATATTGATTTTGGAACTGACGAAGTTGAAGGAAAAGAACATGAAGAACCCAGTTTCAAAGGAAAATTTAATGCAGATAATCAAGTAAATAAAGATAAAACCGCAAAAGATATAGAAAAAGAACCCGAGAGTGAGGGGAAAAATTCTGGAACAAGTGATACTGGAATGGTAAACTCAGTGCCTCAAAATGTTTTAGGTGCACTTGACTTCTTTCAATCATTATCAAGTAGATCAGGTTTATCTAAAGGTATTTTAAGCAGGGAGACATCAAAAACATCCAAAGAAAGTTCTGGACAGGAAGAGAAAGCAGGTGCTGATTTTGAACCTGATCCAAGTGAAAGTAAAGCAAATGTCTCAAAAGATACAGAGAAAGCTTCTTCAGAACCTCTCCAAAGCTGGACTAAGAAATTAAATGAACTGAATTCATCACCAAGACCAGCAAGCCCAGCAAGAAAATGGTCCTCACAAAGCTCAGCATTATCTCCAGAAAAGAAGTTTAGAAGTTCTAAATCTCCAAAAAGAATTAAAAAGAAGCCTGGTGACGAAAATGAGGAAAAAGGTGCATTGGACAAGTGGATTGTTCGATCTCCAGCAAAAAATTTTGTAGGGGATTTGAATACTGATATTGTTGTTGCAAATGTGTCTCAGACTTTGGTTGAGGAGACACAGTCTCCCACTAAATTTGCTGATAAAGGAATGAAGGGAAACGGGTTATCATCGTCTGTCATGGAAACGCCACCAAAAAATGTCCTTGAAAACATTACTGTAAGCCACTCAAATAGTAATCGGAAACTGTTTAGTTCTCAATCTAGTAATCCTGAATATAAGTTTTGTGAAGATTCAAACATAGTACCGGGTTCTCCAAACTCCAAGTCGTACAGATGTGGTACTCCAGTGCTTAAGCTGAAAAAACTTACAGATGAGGAGATCATGAGATACAGTCCATCCAGAAAGAACAAAGATGACGATGACATGCAATTTATATCTGGAATTAATGTGTCTGAATATTCTGATAAAAGTAAGAGAATGATTGATGTTGGTGATGAAGCATCAGGTGATCAAAAACAGAATCATGATGATTTCTCTGCATTCACACCTTTAGAAAAAGGATTAAAGGAGATCAAAAATGATAGTTTTTTCTGTAGTGAGCCCTCTAGTGCTGAGCAAGCAATGCTGAAATTGGACAATAATGTTAATACTGATAAAGTTTCTGAATTCTCTGGTTCAGAGAATTTATTCAGTCAAAGTGAGAAAGTTGATGATGAAAGTGAAAAAGATCATATTGCACTAAACATTGGTGATGAACTTAATAGTCAGCAGTCTCCTCCCCTCCTTTCTTGTGATGCTGAAGCAATGGATGTAAGTGAAAGTTTAAATGTGATGGAAACTAAGGAAGTAAGAAAAGGGGAGGTCACTGGTGTTGATAATACTAGTAGTGTTGTATCTCCAAATAATACACAAGCTGAAGTACCTGTTACAAGTCGTAGAGGCAGGAAAAGAAAGCAAATTACTCCAAAAAAGCTTACACCGGAAGATATTAGAAATAAACGTAAGAAAGAAGAGGTTGAGAACCAAATTGTGGTACAGAAACTTAGCAAAAGACTGAAAAATAAGAGAGATAGTGACAACGAAACCAAGAATGGTGATAAATCAAAACTGAATAAAAAGGGTAGTAGATCTCCAAAAACTGAAGTGAACACTGAAGGAAAAGATACAAAAAAGAAAAGGGGACCAAAGGGTCGTAAGAAAAATAATTCTGGTTCTCCCAACAGTGTAAGTTCAGCTGAGTCTAGTCATGAGGAGCTGGAAGTTAGTGTTCTTGAAGATATATTAGATTTGGAGGAAGACCAAAATTGTGTTAAAACATTGACTGAAATAAAGAAAGACTTGAAAAAGAATAAGAAGAAAGTTGAAAAAGTGATTAAAGGGAAAAGGGATACATTGCAAAAATCTGAAACAGTGAAGTCTGTCAGTCTTATAAGTGAAGAGACTAATGAGAAAGAAAACGTTAAGGAAAATGTTGGAGAAGGTCCTAAAGTTTCTTCTCCTGGTAATGAAAACAATGTGCATGAAGAAGATAAAAATGTAGAAAAAGATATGAACTGTAATGATAATGGGACTGTCATTGAAAACAATCCATACCAGTATGAAGACATAAGTGAATGTGAGGGTGATACACCTCAGTATGATAGTAATAAAAACTTCCCTGAAAAGAACATTTCTGTGCCCTCAATAGATAATCAAATAATGGTTAATGGATCTGAAACAGGTCTTGTTGAAACAAATGTTGAAAATCTGGATCCACCAGTTCTAGAAATGGAAGGTGCTACATTTACGGCTGTTAAACTTGGTGATGATGTAATCCCTCCAAGCATGGATTGTAAAACTGATGGAACCCAGAGTTCACCAACAGATGATCGTGCTAAAGATTATGTTACCACAATTATAGAAAGTAGTGATGAAGAAAAGGACCTTCCGGACATAGAAAAGAGGTATTATGATGAGTCTGAAAATCCATTTGATAATGTAGATTTGGTCAATGTAGCCAAAAGTACTGATGAAAAAAACATATCTTTCTCAGATGATGACGTTCCTTTAGCTGAAATGACTGTTAAAGGTAATGAGAAATGTGATGAAAAACTAAACAAGAAAAAACCGGCTGCCACAGCTTCTAAGCAAAAAACTCAGTCAAGTAAAACCAGGCTAAGATTGAATGAAAGTAAGTCGGAGACTACAGGAGGAAAACAAACTCGTAGAGTAAATTTTGGTAAGAAAATAGGAATTGATGACAAAACAGTAAATGGAAAGAAGGTGACAGAGGCAGAAATGGATGAGGAAGAAGTTCTACAGGAAGAACAAGTGTTACAGGAACAAGGAGAGAAGCCTGAAAAGCAAGCTGAAGAATTAGAACAAAATGATGATAAATTATCAAAACTTGAACAAAATGAAGATACAAATGATGAAAATTATATAGATGAAACACCAAAGAAAGGAGCTGATGTTTTGAAGTCGAATGTGGCTGCTATGATGATGATGAGGAACTCTGACAGCAAATTAGTGATTGGATCTAGAAAGCTTGAAAGGAAAAGTGGTGTGGTCAGACGAAGTATTTTGAAGCAGGCATCAGAAGAAAGGTTGACGGATGAGACCCAGTCTCCAAAGAGGACTCCGTTTCATCCAATATCAGTGAGCAGGATCTATTCACCTACTGCCTCGCCTAGTGCTAGCATTTTGAAGAAGAGGAGACTAGATGCTGAATCCTTGTCGGATACAAATTCACCGCCCATGAAGGTAAACTAAACAATAGTTCAACTACCTTGAACTACCTTTATCATTTCTAGATTAGCACATCTTTGCTTTAACCATTTACACATATGTTTTTCCATCTCTCATTTTCTTTCACCTTGGCTTGTGTATAAACTCTCAGTTAACATTTTTTTGTTATTTGATAGTTTAATAAACCTTGTCTTTAAGTTTGATCCTATCACTTGTAAAATTTCAATTTGAAATTGTTTATAAACTCAGACCTATGCCCGTGTAGATGTTAAAGTTTTATTTTAGCAAAGAAGAGTATCATTTGCAACCCCCCTGGCTGATGTGACCCGAGTAGATACAGACAGACCCCCATCTCCCCTAGTTAAAATGGTAAGGATTGTTAATCAAGTAAAGTATATACAGCTTGTTGCTTTGACAGTTTGCTAGTTGAGCCTCAACTTGGTCAAAATTTGCTTTATTTTGTTCTTAAGTTTTCTTTGAAAGCGTCCGGTGTCATGTATTGGCTTCAGATGGCTCTTCAATCTCTCTTTGGCTGCTTGGGTCGCCAATGGGCTGTTTTAGCTACATTTGGCATTCAGCCTACATTTTACTGGTTTCCCTGTCATTTCAGTTGCCATTTGACTGATTGAGACTTGACATACTTATATTTATTCCACTTCTGAAAGTGTTAGATATATACATTGAATGTTGTTGTAAATTGTTTATTAATTCATTGCTGAATAGATCTTTGATCTTTTTTGAGTATTTGTAGTTTTTCTTTTACACAAATCACTTGTTATATTATTCAACACGCTTTGGAGTACCGGTACATGTAGAATTTCACCATATTACCACACCCACATACCTTTTCATACAACAGTAATATTTTGTTAAATTTTAGATCAATGACATTGTACAATAACACAATGCCAAGGCCTTTAAGTGTTATACTGAGATTAGCATTATAGTGAGGGTCACTTTGACAGAGTGGCAGTGTACATGTAGTAGATATGTCTCTTGAACCTTATCTACTTCGTTAGAATCGCTCAAGGATATTGTATCTTGGCAGGTGTGAAAATTTTTCTAGCCATACTGAAAAAGTTTGATAGATCTATTTCTGATGTATATTTATGTCTAGAATTATGGTCCTTAGTTTGGCTTGAATCCACATCAACAGTGGGATGGGTGGAGACTCTACATCATTAAGAACTATATACTACAGTTATTATATGATGTTGCTAGTGCTGAAAATCTTGTAGTCTTAAACGTTTATTTTAATCTTCTGTGTTGATCTGTAGATTTGTATTGTTGATATCATAATATTTTTTTCAGGCTGAAACTAGTGCAACTCAGGAATCAGTTACTTTGACACAGTCTGGCAAATTTATAGGGTCACAGTCTACCCAAGGTAGTCCTAGTCAGAAAAATTATGTAAGCAGTCAAGATACACAGATCAATAATACTGACCCAGTCTGTCCAGCATTGATGGACTGTGACCAGTCTGTTGAGAAAATATTACCTCAGCTAACATCATCCATATGGTAATTATTTTCCTGTTTTTTATAAATGTATTGATAATATTGCAGCCACAGCAACTTCAAAGTCAAGATGGTGAGAGATCTTTCACACAATATGTTGTTTTGTTATGGTGTTCATGAATATGTCACAAATTATTACTGATGAAAAATCAAAAACCTTTCAGAAAGGAAGTTTTAAGCTTGACTATTTGAAGAATAGGGAGAGCTATTGTACTTTCCCTGAGTCGGCGTCACACTGGTTTTCTAGTGCAAGTTGGTGTCTCCAAAGCTACTGAAGGGAATTGGTTGAAACTTCACATGTTTTTTTTAGGGCGTAATAAGAGGTCACCAGCCTAATCCAAGGTCTATAACTAACAAACTTGATATGTAAGTGGTAGGAATATTATAGTAACATATTGTTACAATTTTGATGCCCTCTTATTTCAGGTCAAGAGGTCTGGGACAGCTTGTGAGAGCTCGTAATATTCGTACAATAGGTGACCTGTCTTCCCTTACTGAAGGAGACATTCACGGTTTACCAATACGCTCACCGAAGGTCGACACCGTGAAGAAAGTGTTGACCAAGTTTGGTAAGAACATTGGCTGTAAGAATATCGGAAGTACAAGACCTAAGAGGTCTTCAAAAACAAACCTAGATTCCCAGCTTAAATCAGGTATCTGCAACATTGATCAGAATGTTGGAAGTTTTGCATGGTGTTATATAGCCAGTCCTACCTACCACATTACAGGGATAGTTCTGATTCAAACACCTGTTGTTTTATATTAATTTTGTTTACTTCTAACTGTTGATTTTGTCAGTTGCAGTACTAACTACTGATTTTTGCTAATATTCAACAAATTATGGAAATAACATTACTTTGATACAGGTTTATTGGGAAAAAATGTACTAAATTGTTTACATATAATGATCCACAATTCCCGTGCAGCCCCAACGTTCACAACCACTTAATTTATTACTTAATGAATAGCTGCAGGAATATAACAATTATTTTATTTCTTTCTGCCAATCTTTTCCCTTTTCTAGTTGTATGAAAGTTAATTATCATAATATATAATGCACAGATGCATTCAAGGTCATGTACTTCAAGGTCATCATACATTACTAAAGCTGGAAATTTATAAAATGATAGCAAGATTATTAGGATGTTACAGAAACCTGACTGAATAAATGCTGAATTGTTAGCATACATTGAATCTATATGAGTATCAGTATCTGTAGTTTATTAATATTGTTAACCAGGACAGAATATGGAAAATTGTTCCATATAGAAATTTAGTGGTTACTTATTTCTTGAACTTATTTCTTGATAAATTTCTGTGCATCAGAAACTATGACAGATTCGCTTAAAGGTTAAAAGTAACTCTGTAAGATATATGAATCAGTTTCCCCTGACAGTTTATCAAAACATAAGTTATAAATCAGGGATGCTTATATAGGCCATTTACTGGTACATGTGACACTTCACAATTCCATTCTTTTCTATATAATAATTAGGCATCTCTGATGATTATATTGAGTGATATAAAAGATCATTTGACTTGAACTTTGTTTGGAACATTTACAGCAGAAAGCAAGCCTGAGATGAAACAAGTCGCAGAAGTTCCACCCACTACCTCTGTTGAGACAAATGATATAGGTAAGTGCTCTAGTAACATTTCAACGTTTCGAAAGTTTATTTTGTACTAAGGTCTCCAGTCCACATACAACATTTGTACAGCATAATTATAACAATAAGATGCATAGAGACCACCATGGGCAAGTGGTTTCAAGTCACCCTCACCACTGTTCATAACCCATAAGGGACTTTTGGTCTTTCATGTGAGAAAGCTATGCGTGTTGTTTATGTAAGTTTGGTGGTTCTACACAGGTGCTGGCTTGTGCCCTGAATATATACAAAGGAGCACCTGAAATCTTCCTCCACCAACAAAGCTATAAAATTGTCATATAAGCTTTAACAGTGTTGGTGTTATAAAAATCTTAATGAAATAGGATAAACATGAGCCACGCCATAACAAAACCCAATATAATGGGTTTGCGACCAGCATGGATCCAGACCAGCCTGCGCCTACGCGCAGTCTGATCAGGATCCATACTGTTCACTATCAGTTTTTAGCTCGACTTTTCTATGAAAAGGGGAGCTATCCTACTCGCCCCGGCGTCGGCGTTGGCGTCACACCTTGGTTAAGTTTTTCGTACCACCCCACTTTATTTCAGAAGTATTACAAGTATGGCTTTGAAACTTACCATACTTGTTCACCATCATAACCTCCATCTACAGACAAGAGTACATAACTCTGTCAAGGTTTTTGACAGAATTATGGCCCTTTTTTGACTTAGAAAGTGTATTGAGCTTGGTTAAGTTTTTTGTACCACCTCACTTTATTTCAAAACCATTGGAGGTATTGCTTTGAAACTGACCATACTTGTTTACCATCACGACCTTCATCAACAGACAAGAGGACATAACTCTGTCAAGGTTTTTGACAGAATTAAGCCCCTTTTTGACTTAAAAAATACATTGAATATGGGTAAAATCCACTTATTGCCTTAACCCTTTGAGATATTGCTTTGAAACTTTTAATGCTATTTCACATCATTACCCCCATCTGTACGCAAGAGAAGGTAACTCTGTCAAGGATTTGTTTTAAAAATTAAGGCCTTTTATCGACTTACAATCTTGGTTAAGTTTTTAGTACCAGTCCACTTTTTGACTGAACTGTTTGAGATATTAATTTGATAGCAAAGATATAATCATCATAGCTTGATAAAATTTATCTATTACTTGTATTATAAGGTAACTATAATACTTTCACATACAAAGTCAAATCTATATATTATGCTGATTGTACAAAAATATACTGCTTCCTTGGCATAGATTTCTTGAAAAATTATGTTATTATGTCATTTACCAAGGTGTTCTGAGTGACGTAAAAATACCTTATTCTCTCAAAGTGGGTTTAATACTATTAAATTTATTTAAGGCTCAACTCAGTTTTTTTTTCTTTCCTACCAGCCCTCTTTTGACTTAAACATTTCAAACTTTGCTGCAGTGTTCAAGGGTATCACACAATTCAGTAAAATAATTCTTCACTAAATATCTTAATGCTCATGGCCATTGTTCACTTTAAAAATACAGAGATTCTTGTATTGCCTTTTACTGCAAAAACTTTTTTTATTGGCAAGCAATAAAAAAGTCGAGCGCGCTGTCTTACGGACAGCTCTTGTTCTACTTGTTATAGAGTTTGTAAGCGACCAGCATGGATCCTGATCAGACTGCACGGATGCGCAGGCTGGTCTGGATCCATGCTGATCGCAAACCCATTATGTTGGTTTTGTCATGGCGCGGCTCAAATGCAAAAATATGTACTGATATAAATTACACAGATTTTGGTTTATTAGCTACATGTATCAGGTGAAACTTATATAAACCAACAGAAAGAAATTTAGTATTTGATATGAAATGTCTGCTTTAATTAAAGCATTATATATTGTTACAGTTTAATAAAGTATATACCAGAGAAAATATATAATAAGAAAGGACAATGCAAAATGAATCCTGTATCTTATTTTACAATATATGTTTAGTATTTACATGTTAGTTGAATAATTCTAATCAAGTAGTAAGAATATTAGATGATTTCACTAAATTTGTGTTTTTGTTCTGAAGATAATTTAAAGTAAAGTAATATTTTAAAAAAAGAGAGAAAGATTAATTACACAGTGTTATAAAAAGAAGAAAATTGGAAAAGCTCATTTCAAAAATCATTTCAAATATGAAGGTAAACTTTATAAACTGTGGAATGATAGTTGGCATTATACTATAATGTACATGATATATATATGTTTGAATGCAGGGTTACCAGAAGATGTGGATGAGATTTTAGCCAACAGTGAAAGTCTACTTGAAGCTGTAAACAGCTTGACAAGTGATCTTGACACATCTGAGGTCCTTCAAGATTCTGAAAACACGTCAGGCGCCAAACCAGATATAAACCTTAGAGACGCACTGTTAAACTACTGTGAAAAGGACAAGATAAATGTTCAAGGATTAAGTGCCAATGACCTTGTGAAAATGTCACAAAATTTAACCGCTATGCTCTCTGAGGTTAGCAAGGCAATAGAAGCTGTTGTCAACACAAGATGCAGATCTCCATGGAGATGAGATTTATTGTTAATTTTAAGGGCATGTGTACATTTAAAATTGCAGTGTATGATACTTACCTAGTGTCCATGGTAATGTCTTGCTCTTAGGTTGCTAAAGCTATGTTTGTGTTGCTAGGTGGATATATGGTAAATACTGAGTATGCTGAAGTTGAAACTGAAAGGAAGTCAGCACACAGTCATGACGTATCAAGTCAAAATCTCATATAGATGTGTAGAATTCCTTGATGTGTAGTAGAAACTTGAGTATGACATATGAAAATGCTAAGCTAATTCTAGTTGATTCATAAGCAATATTGCTCAATTGTTCTGTAAATACAAGTTTTTCTGTGTATTTACTGATAAAGGACAGCATTAACATTAATGCTTAGAATTTTTCTGGCAGAAGTATTTGATTGGTTTCACATGGAGATGCAAAACTGATCCTGTTCAACGCCATGCAAAACAGACTGTTTGAAACAAAGATGTTTTTTATAAAACAGACTGTTTGAAACAAAGATGTTTTTTATAAATAAAACCAACTGCTCCATTTACAAGTGAAATTGTGAACATTTGTAAAGGCTTAAACTTGATTTTGCTGGTATTAATTGTATATTGACGGTCTTAGCTGACACATAATGATGTTATTCATTCAAAATCTTTTTGTGTAGAAAAGTCTGTCTTTGTAAATGGGAAATATAGACTTTGTTGACACTTTGCAATTCAGTGCATAGACAAAATTGAAATTATTGTGTTAACTAACAGATTTTGATATACATATAAATGTCATATCCATTCAGAGATAGTTTGACTGTATTCTAAAGATGCAAGTGTAATGAATATTGAACGTCATTTATTTTATTATGTTTGTTTTTGTTAATAAACATCAATTAGTGAAAGGGTAGCAGTAGTGGTAATAATGATTCTTATAGGTCTTATATTATAGGTCTTATATTATAGGTCTTATATTATAGGTCTTACATTATAGGTCTTACATTATAGGTCTTATATTATAGGTCTTACATTATAGGTCTTACATTATAGGTCTTACATTATAGGTCTTATATTATAGGTCTTATATTATAGGTCTTACATTATAGGTCTTACAGCTTAATACCAGATGATGCCCTTACAGGAGTGTGTGATCTCTGCCCAATCCTTCGTTATTCCCGTATAAATATCATTGTTGACACCTTTTTCCAAGTCTTTGTTTTGTTTTTCCAAATATTGTTAAATCCTGTTAAACTTTTCCCAATTGTTGTAACCATTTTCATAAACTTTGTTTAAACCTTACTACCAGCTTTTGAGAATTTAATAAACCTTTTTCAAGTATTTTATGGAGAGAATTTTCTAAACTCTGTTTAAACCTTTCTCTAATTTGTTCAGCCTTGTTTAAACCTCCCTGTACATGTTAAATTTTTTCCATACATTGTTAAACTTATTCTCAGTTGTTATAATTGTTGTTATCTTTATCCTGCTACTGTCTGTATTATTAGCTGGATAAAGCTTTGCAGGATAAACTTATCTAACTCCAGTCATTATGTCATCATAGCCTATGATGATGTCATATGGTTAGTGGCCAACCAAAATTACATACAGACGCTGTTTTATTGGGGTAATGTAAGAATTATACCATTAAAATAACCTAAAAACATGATTAAACTAGACTAAAGCAGGATAAATCAAGAACATGGTTATTGTTGGGATGGAGGAGGTTTATCTGGTTCACTGCAGAAGTGAATCTTGGCTCGCTAAAGCTCGCGGAGATACACTTTCTCACGGAGATACACGTTCTCGCTTACCGGATGAACCTTCTCCAATCCGATATCAACCATGTGTTCTCTATTTTTTCCCAGTCATTGTTCAAACCTTGCCAAATCACTGTTTAAAAAATTTCACCATTAATGTAGTTTAAACCAAGTCGTAAAACTAGCTTAAACCCTTTTTTCCCCCAAATAATTGTTAAAACTATTTCCCACTCCTCGTTACAAACCACTTCCTTATTATTGATTCTTGCTTTAAAATACTGAATTATCTAGTATTAAATGTTATTTTTTAAGGTACATGAAATTGTATTCTTACAATTGTTTAAATGTTATTTAATATTTGCCTGTTACCTGACTATATGTGAAGGGCACAATTGTACATTTAATTAAGAGCAAGTATTTCATGTTTGCAGCATATATGTTTGTATATCAAATTTTGAAGTGTTATGCATGGTGTATAGATACTGAAAAATACATTATAGATGCATGTAGTAAATATTGCTTGTAAATAAATTACAAGGTAACCCTTAAACCTCCATCTTTAATTTCTTGATGAATTGATAGTTTATTTTCTATTTTCCAGTGTTTCCTGTCATTTTATAAGTGATAGAAATAAATCATTACTAGTTTGTCTAACTTTAAAAACTCACATGTTTATTTGATGTTAAGTTTATCTTGTTGAACCTACATAACTTAAGTATTTATTTGAAAGGTAAATGGTTGAAAAATCTTAAAAGATTTTTTTTTTTTGAATACTTGCCATTAAGTTTGCTTTAGATAGTATTGCTAATCTCTTTCTGAGGTTTATGAAATATTGAGACCACCATAAAATGTTTTTGTACTAGAATACAAAAGAAATGCCCATTTTGAATTTTGATATGTTTTTTTTTGTACTATGGTAATGTATATATTGTTATATATATATTACCTCTATGAAATTAAATAATAATTTGTCTGATGTTATTATATAGTGGGCCTGATTCTATTATGTTAGGAAATCATTCATTGATAGGCTATTGTTGTTATACTGAAGTGTACATTCATTCAGAAAATACATATGAGCCGCCTCACGACAAAACCAACATTGTGCATTTGTGACCAGCATGGATCCAGAACAGCCGGCGCCTCTGCGCAGTCTGATCAGGATCCATGCTGTTTGCTTACCAACCCTATTACAAGTTAAGAAACTGATAGCGAACAGCATGGATCGTGATCAGACTGCGCTGATGCGCAGGCTTGTCTGGATCCATACTGGTCGCAAACCCATTATGTTGGTTTTGTCATGATGCGGCTCATATGCTAGTGGCACATGCAGGTTCCCCATACGTATGTTACTTAAGATGCTGTATAGCCTACCTAAGGAAAATGTTAACCTGTAGAACAATGTTTGCCACCTTGTGGCTTAGGGGTTGCCTTTAAGGGTTGAGGCATCAGATTTTTAGCCACATTTATGCCTGCATGATCGTAAGCGGTGAATAAATGGTTCCCTGTTTGGGAGTTGATGAATCTTTAAGCTCTAGCAGGTAAGGTGGTTTTGACCTCTGGTATTGCTTTAAAGTTGTAACACCCGAGGTTAGCTAAAATCATCTTTTCCTCTTTCAGCGCCATATGACCTAACTTGTGTTAGTGAGCCGTAAAACCAAACAAATACTGAATTATTTTAATGGACTTGTCTAGCTCCCATTTTTGGAAATAATCAATTTTGGGAATTTCAAGATGAAAATTTAGTTTTGTCAGCCAACAGTATAAAGCCTGGTCAGACTGCATAGTTGTACTCTATACTGTTGGCAATGGTGTTCGTTTTTCTGTTCCATTACTGAAAATGTTAATTGATACATTCAAAAATTATGTAATTATTTGATAGATCAGATTAAGCCGATTTAATATGAGCAAGTTTTTAATGATACAGAAATTATACATTTTGTCTGTTGTTTTTTTTTATCCACCACCGCTGTTCTAATTATATGTATTTATTAGTTATAATTTTTATAAATATTTGTTTTAACAGATTGTATGCATTTGATCAGTTTTGAAAGATATTTTTCTATAAATTAGAACTATTTTTGTTTTGAAGTTGTGTATGGAAAGGAGTGTTTAAATGTCTGTGTGTTTTTTGGATGGAAATGGTTTGAACTTTGTTTTTTTATAGTGATCAAATAGACGTGTGTGTATGTGTGTGTGTGTGACAAAAATAGACTTGTGTACATAGAATATGCAACTTACATTTTATAACATGATATTTTTGAATAGTTCTTTGTTGAGTTACGTTTTCTAAAATATATTTTTATAGAAGAAAATACATCCCAAATGTAAGCAAATATTTCATGGAATTGAATGTAGTATATGGCAAAAGGTCAGTTATTTTAAGCATTGATAAAATGGTATGTGTTGATAATTTTGTATGTCGTTTTGTTTATTTTAATTGTTCTCTTTGTATTTTTTCCTCAAAAATCTGAGTGTATATGAGTTTATTTATACTTGCCACTGGTTACTCAAATGGGCAAGACCTCCAGAAGAGTATTAGTGATTTTAGATTTTGGAGAACTGTGCAAGATAAATAAAGATGCCCCATATTCAGTAGCTTCTCCTGGTTCTTAAATCTGTCAAGTCTTTGAGCACTCGTACACAAGCTCTCTATTTAAAGTCTCATGCAAAATACTATCAAGTAATTTTAGTTGGTCAGCCCAGTAAGGTCAAGGTTACATAAAGCTTAAATTGCATCACAGTGTCTTGAAGTGATACTGTCGGTTCAACTTCATTGTATTCTAGAAATTGTTA